GGCTGGGTTGAAAAAGAGTGACTGGCCCAAAGTCACTCAGTTGGCTTTCATGAACTTATGGTCTGCTGCTTTCTAGCCAGGTATTTTAACCAATAGACCAACTGTGATTACAAGGAATGATCTGCTATGTTACATGCTGCAAGTTGAAGTTTTATTCTTAGCTTCATCTGAACTGTTTAAATGGAACTGATTCCAGCCTCATAATGAAGAAATGTCTCCAGCCAACTGTGATAGAGTCCTCAATTTACAACCACAATTGAGCCCAAAATTTATGTTGCCAAGTGAGAAATTTGTTAAGTGAGTTTTGCCCTATTTTACGACTTTTCTTGCCACATTTGTTAAACGAATCACTGCAGTTGTTAGATTAGTAACAGTTATTAAATGAATCTGATTTTCCTATTGATTTTGCCTGTCAGAAGGTTGCAAAAGGTGATTACATGACCCAAGACTGCAACCTTCAGAAATATGAGTCGTCAAGCATCCGAATGTAAATCAATATGACCATGAAGATGCTGCAATGGTCATAAGTGTGAATAATGGTCATGTCACTTTTTTCAGTGCCGTTGTAACTTCAAACCATCATTAAGTGAGCTGTTGTAAGTCGAGGAGTACCTCCTGTATATGAAACAGGTTCTGTGCCCCTTTTGCAATAACGACATACAACAGTGAAATAGCAGTAGGTTATTAAACCTTTGAATCAGGGTTCTACTTACCTTTACTACTGGTACGCAGTGGGAGCATGCATGCGCGCTTGCTTTGCTCGCGCGCTTTTGCGCATATGACCCATGATGTCGTGGCAGGTGGGTGGAGCCTCCCACCGGTTTTACTACCGGTTCTATAGAACTGAACAGAACCGGGAGCAACCCACCACTACTTTGAACTATGGTGCTGGAGAAGACTCCTGTGAGTCCCTTGGACTGCAAGGCGATCAAACCAGTCAGTCCTAGAAGAGATCAACCCTGACTGCTCTTTAGAAAGCCAGATCCTGAAGGTGAAACTCAAATACTTTGGCCACCTAATGAGAAGGAAGGACTCACTGGAGGAGAGCCTAATGCTGGGAAAGATTGAGGGCAAAAGAAGCAGTGGATGACAGAGAACGAGGTGGCTGGATGGAGTCATTGAAGCAGTTGGCGTGAGCTTAAATGGACTCCAGAGGATGGTAGAGGTCAGGAAAGCCTGGAGGAACATTGTCCATGGGGGTCGCAATGGGTCGGACACAACTTCGCAACTAACAACAACAAATTAAACCCCTCAGAAAATAATCTCAGCATCTTTGGGCCGTCGAGTTTTTTTCATTTCCTTATCTCACCTGTACATTTTCTGAGCTACAGAAAGGGATACGTCGAAGGTAGCTCCAGCTGCCGATCGAAGGCTGTCTGGAAACATCTCTGTGAGACCCCAAAGTCTCTCTGCCAGGGTCTCATCCAGCTGCAACAAGGAGAGAAAAACATTAAGTAGGAGCCTGCCTGACCCTCCAGCCTACTCTCCCCCACCCCCAAACCTGGAGTTGAAGACCTGTGTGGACGACTATTCACGCATCCCTCCCAAGGAGAGCCTCTCCCAACGCGCCCTCACAAACACGTTCCAACTGACCTCGTGGGGGCCCGGCCGTTTCGGCACGCCTCTAGGGGAGGTCAAGTCTCGCACGGCTTACGCCAAGGCGCAGTACGGAGCTCCGCGTCAACGACCCCGCTTACCTCATCTTCGTCCTCCTCTGTATCCTCTTCCAGCTCCTCCGTTTTGCCGGCGCTTCCCTTGGACGGCAGCACGTCTTCGGGAGACAGCGGCGTCAAGGCGGCCATGACTGCAACTGAGAGGATGACGAACGAGGAGGATTCCCGCAGCGGCTAGACCGTGCCCGGAAGTCAAGATCTGGAGGCTGATAGCCCCGCGGCCCTTCCGCAATTTGCACAGCGACGCATAGCGCACGGGAAGAACAAGCGAAGGTAGCGCAAAGGCTTAGCCCAGCGTTTCTCAAGCTGGGAAATTTTAAGAGGCGTGGTGGACTCTTCTTTAAAGTTAACTGAGGTTAAAAAATAGTGGCTTAGAGTAAAAATGGATGCATGCGTTCCAAGGAAGATGTGAGGAAGTGCATATATTGATTTATAAGCAGGAACTGCAATATTAATGCCTCTCCCTTTCCTCAGTGTTACTTTATGCCGTCATTTTTATTTCCAAGGTAAAGATTCAGGGTGTTTTTTTTTAATCCAAGTTTTGTGATTTGGGACTGAAATTCAACTTTTTTTTTTCTTCCTGGGAGATGGGGACAGAAGAAAGGGTTACTTATCTGACTAAAGTCTGACTTTTAGCCGTGACTATACCAGAACATTCAATGGGTTGCAAACATTTATTACGAAAAAAACCAAATCCTAAAACACTGCAACTTTATAAAAAGAAATATTCTAAAAATAAGAAAAAAAGTTAATGGTTGAGTTCATATATGGTAAATCATGAGTGATTTTGGTTCGCTGTATTGTATGAATCCATCTTTTAAATAATGATTTATGACCATGTTGCACAAAGCCAGCTAATCATAAATTATTCAGTAAATCATGGTTATTTAAATCATAGTTTAGTTTCATCCCTCCCTCCCAGGTAATATAGCAATGCTACTGTGTAGATTCCTGTAATATTTGCTGTTGAATTTGACTTGAAAATGGCCATTTTTCCTGTATTTTATCTGTGTCAAGAATTATAATTAATATATAAAATTAAAATTAATAAAATTAATTTTATTTTAAAATATGAAAGTACATTTAAAGAGCAATGTTTTTCTTTAAAATGGTGTGATTAGATCTGCAAATTGCATAAAATATCTTAAAAGGGAAAAATATGCCTTATCCCCCCTCATAACTAAACGTGCAATGCATAGAATTCCATTAAAAATATTATTTCAGATTAATTTATATCCTGAGAAGAATTCCAGTTTATCTATCTGGAAAATACTTTCAGAAAATAAATTTTCTTTAGAAAATTTGTATAAGGTTCTTCAATTCTGAGAATATCTTTATAAAAATGCAATTGCCAATTAATAAGGATTCAATTTTCCAAATCTGGAGCTATATTATGTTTACCTACTGTCAACCATTAGATACTGGAAGTCAACAATTAATGTTAATTTTCCAATTTGGACCAATTTTGGAATATATTGGTTGGATGGACAGTATTAACATCTACTCTTACTATACTAGAACTCTAATATCTCTGGAAACAATGATGTGAATTAGAAAGTTATGGAATATAATATCTAATAAAAAAAGATTTGATGCTTTTTCCCATTCCAAATTGACTTTATGGAAAATCCCAATTTTGAAAATTGGGAAACGGTGATATAGAAATGGAGATACTGACGTTGGACCACCAGATGGATGATTATGAATTCTCAGCATTCTAACTATTACAGGTAATTCTGTAAAAGCTGTTTGAAGTTACAACAGCCATGGAACAGGTGCTTTATGGCCTGTAAAATACCCCTGGTGATTATAAATGGGTGCGTCATCTGTGGTCATGTGACTACATTGGGCAGGTCAGTTTTAAATTGGTTATGGTTTTCCATTGTTATATGACTTAAGATTTAAGATATTTTATTTATTTATTTATTTTATTTTTCATATTTGTATACCGCCCTACTCCCGAAGGACTCAGGGCGGTGAACAGCCATAATAAATACAAATACATATAGAAGTTAAAAACTATTAAGAAACAGATTAAGTAATTTAGGCTCAAAGATTAAAAACATCCAAATTTATCTAAAGAGGTTTAAAACCCAATTTAAAAGCCAGTTTAAAAGCCAATTAAAAAGGGAGAGTTAGGCCAGACCAGCTTGTTGGAATAGAAATGTTTTCAGGGCACGGCGGAATATGCGTAAGTCTTGGATGTTTCGTAACTCCGGGGGAAGCCCGTTCCAGATGGTAGGTGCCCCCACAGAAAAGGCTCTCCCCCTGGGGGCCGTCAGTCGACATTGTTTGGCCGACGGCACCCTGAGGAGTCCCTCTCTATGGGAGCGAACTGGTCGGTGAGAGGCTATTGGTGGCAGGAGGCGGTCTCGTAAGTACCCTGGTCCTGAGCCATGGAGCGCTCTAAAGATAGTAACCAAAACCTTGAAGCGCACCCGGAAGACCACTGGGAGCCAGTGCAGCTCGTGCAGGAGGGGGGTTACATGAGTGCCACATTGCTCCCATTACCACCCGCGCGGCCGCATTCTGGACCAGTTGGAGCCTTCGGGTGCTTCTCAAGGGGAGCCCCATGTAGAGAGCATTACAATAATCCAGGCGGGAGGTGACAAGGGCGTGAGTGACCGTGCGTAACGAGTCCCGATCCAGAAAGGGATGCAACTGGCGAATCAGGCGAACCTGATAAAAAGTCCTCCTGGCTACGGCCGTCATATGCTCTTCAAAAGACAGCCGTGAGTCCAGGAGGACTGGACTGGTTTCTGGCAAAAAATGCCCAAATTTATGGGGTCGCCTCATGATGGAAGTATTTGATTAACGACCGCAGCACTCCCTTAAGGACAGCAGTAACTACTGTGGAAAAAGCTAGAAAAATTACTTCTGGTTACATGAGTGCCTCAACTTACAATCGCAATGATTTACAACCATAATTCTAGGCTCAATTACAGTCATAAATCAAGGACTCTCAGTAAAAGATAAATATCATTTATCTGATATAACCCAATGGAAATATTTACAATTCTGTTTGTTAACAACATTGTTTGGACCAGCAGCATTCTCAGTTTCTGAAATACCTGAGATAATAGAACAACTTGTTCAATCCTTTAAAATTAAAAACCCTAATTTTTATAGATGTTATCAATAAATCAATCTGATATGCAGATGTTAAAAAATAAGAGATTCCTAAACTGTCTCTATAATGAGTGTGTGTCTTAACCTCTATATAGTAAGAATGTCAATAGACCCCAATTTATGACTTTTACAACAAAAATATTTAGAATTCATTGGACTCTGTTATGTTTGTATAGAAAAGAACTTTCAAAAACAGCATTTTGTTACAGGTGTATTAAGAATAATGCTTCTTTTAAAACACATGTTTTTACAATGTCCTATACTTAGCAAGTCTGGGCAGAAAGTAGTGGATTACATAAATAGGATTGTATGACAAAAGCTAAAATTCTCAAGATAATATTCTATTGATTTACACATTTAGTACATAGAATTTGACAACTGGATATGCCCATATTATGGCCAAAAGATTGATATTGCATCATTAGAAAGATTAACTCATGGCTCCTTTCACTCAGTGGATCGAAGACCTGATTGCATTGGCCGCTTATGAGCAGATTGCCTATAGATGTAGCCTTTATATACACTGACAAAGATAATGAAATATGGGACTCATTTATACAGAATACAGGTGGTTAAAAAGTCATAAATATTACCAGAAATGCAATATACATCTTAAATAATATTTGTATTAGACAAGTATATCATTGTTTGACATTTTTTATTACAGCATTTTGTGATTTTTTTTTCTTTTTGAAAAGAAATCACTTTGTTTTTTGTTCTTTTTGTTATTAGTTAAAAAAATAATTTAAAAAAAAAGTAGTGCTTTATTATGAATTAAGGAGCAGACATAATAAGAACTGGCTATTCAGTGTGAAGTTCAAAGAAATAAGATATATAAAAAAGTTGTTCTTGTACTTTACAGGTAAATTATTGTAGTTATAAGGCAACCCTAATTTTTTCGAACTGTAGAATAGGCCATTTTTGAGATGAATGTGTTATGTCATCTAAGTATCTGTGAGCAAGTGACTATTAAGCAGATACCCCAGCAATTTTGTTAGCTTTTAAGGTCCCTCAAGATGTGTCTTTTTTCTGATGTCATAGATTTAAATGTTATCTCACCAATGGCTTTCTATATACTTTCAGGGAAAGTGCAGGAGCATTTGTGATATCTCCTATAACAGAAACTAATGAAAAGATACGGTGTGCTACCTATTTTGTCTGCCATATACCAAGTCATTGTCAGAAACTACAATTCAGAGATATTTTGCACTCCAGATGCCAAGGAATGCATGGATAGTGAACCTAAAGTAGATTAAAGAAAGATAATCGCTTATTTTAGACACAATTTGAGTCCTGGCATGACAAGCCAAAATGTGCACAAGCAGCATGTACTCATGTACATTCCATTTGCAGGCAACCTGTTCCTCTATATAAAGCAAAACCAGGCTACATTGCTAGCTCACACTTAACCTGTTAAGTGTGAACTTTCAATTAAGACAGGATTTATAACCCAAAGCTGACTTTCAGTCCTGCCTTGTTCAGAAACAATTTACCATGTTTTCAGTCTTATGAATTATGAGTAAATTCAGCTTTCTAGCTTGCTTTACAATTCACATAAGCTGACAAAAGTGAGTGCATGCTGCATGCATATATTCTAGCTTAATAAACTGACATTTCATTATCAGTAAGTATCCTGAGATGTATTGCAAGGAATGTTCATATCTTCTCATCTGATCTTTCAGAATGGTTGCTATCTTCTTGGGAAGATGACATAAATGTTGTCTATACTTAATCATCTTAGTAATATAATGAATGTATGTTAAGAGCACTTGAAAAGAAGTTTCACAAAGAGAAAAAAGAAGATACTAGCTTCCTTACAGCGCTGGAACTAACTATTTCTTAGTTGGGGCTATAAAGAGTCGAAGGCAGCAAAGTCTCCCAAGGCAGATGTGACTTCAGAAGTGATGAATCTGATCGCTCTAAATCATATTTGCCTGTTATTTCTTCCCCTTATCTCCTAGTGATTGCCAATTTATAATTCACTTCCTCCTTCGGCTGTAATTTTTCATTTCTTCCAATTCCTTCTCCATGAGATGGGATTCAGCCGTTGTCTCAGAGAGCTGAAAGTGCAAGGCATAAATGGTAATGAAAATATATAGGTACATACTAATGCTGCAGCACACCCAGAAGTATTTTTCTTTTGGTTTTATTCCAAAGCAAAATTATTCCAAAGGTTTAATTAAATGGGCTGAATTTCAATTGTGTGTTTGGGCTAAAATTCATTCTTTAAAAATAAGTCATCAGCTGCTGATAATGCATAACATATATGATATTCTGTTCTACGTTCTTAAAACACATTTTCAGACATTGAATAAAATATCTGAATACTGATGCAGCTGCTTCCTGTTGTTTCTACCAACCAGTAAGAACTGTTGTTTTCAAGTCCCATCTGCAAACCAGTATCATCTTGTGGAACCTAGAACACAGGTGATTTCTGTAGCTATGCTTGCCCTGTGAAACAGCATTCCCTGGAAATCCATATGATCCTGACTCTGCTGTACTTTCACCAATTCTTAAGGCTGGGTTTTTCAATAAGCTTTGGGGCAATTTGCATCATGATCTGTTCTCTGTTTATTTTTCTTTAAATTGTTATTAGGTCCTGTTCTTGGCGTGTAATTGTATATTATTTATTTTTATTTTTTTTAACTCTTATGTTTAAGCTATTTAGAGTTGTTTTGTGATTGAGATGGCATACGTACTGAACAAAACAAGTAACCTATTTGAAATTTATATGGGAAAAATTCATTTCATTTCTCCCGCAGAAAAAGTCTGTTATCTGTAGTAGAAGTTTTAATTTTCTAAATCACAGTATCTTGGATCAATGAATGTCAGGTTTTGTTCATTGGAAAATTCTCCTTATGGGTTGTCCTGTGTTGTGACCAAAAGCTGGCTCACCTAAAGCAATCAATTCACTTTGAACATGCAACATAAAAAAATTAAGCATGCAAAGAACAGTATACACTAGGCTCCCAACAAAGCATTCACGGATTGCTGAAAGCCTTGTGCTAAAGCAGAACCACAGCTCATATACCTTTGGCCACCATACCTGGAATTGGCATAGAAGCTATTCAGAAGGTGTGGAATGCAATAGCACCACACATCTTCAAATCATGCTAATTTGAATTTGCAAATTGTGCTAAGGAATCATTAAGAAACTAAATAACTCCTGAAATGTGCTAAAAAGAGAGATGACACATTGACCTCACCATATCCAACAAAAGATCCACTTTCAGACGAAGAAGATTGTTCTCTTCTTCCAGTTGCTGATTCCGTTTGCGAAGACGCTGTGTCTCCCTGCGGTCCCCATTGCTTCCAAATGATTCTGGAATTACATATCCCAAGATTATCTAATTTGTCTTGCTCTAGGTATTTCGTGAAAAAAGAGAGCCAGAACCCCAGCAAAAACCAGTCACATTAGCTTTACTAAAATAGGCAAAATAACAAGTCAGAAAAACAACAGAAATCTGATAGAAAATAACATTTTATATAAAGCATAATAAATAAAGATAATATAAATAAAGATATTGCAAACAATATATTATAGCACATGACTTAGGTCTGGCCTAGTATAAAACCAAGGCCAGAAAAGGTATCTTATTTTACTTGCAGCTAAAAATTCTACAATGACAGTCATGTCAACCAAACATTTTAATTATGGTTGTAAAAATAAGGTCTTTTTTTGTAAATTCGAGTTTGAATCCTTTCTGCATTTCAGTCTGCAAGATAGTTTTACCTTTCATTTACCAGTTGGACAGATAGAAGCCTATCATAGTTTTCACAATAAGGGCTCCGTTTCATTCAAGCCCAAAGCCCCTGTTGTTTCCTCCTTGTTTACAGCATCCCAGAACTCAGAATATGTATTTTAAAGTTTCCAAATACTACTCATATTTGGATACTACTCATATTTGGATCAATTTATGACCACATTTGGGACCCAAACTTTGGCTGCTAAGCAATGGGATTGTTAAGAGACTCGCATCCAATTTTACAATATTTTTTGCCATGGTTGTTAAGTAAATAACACAGTCATTAAACAAATTTGGCTTCCTCTATTGACTTGCTTTTGGGAAGCTGGCAGGGAAGGTCACAAAACATGTGAAACCAAGATGCTACAATCCCTGTAAATACATGCTGGTTGTCAAGTGCCCAAATTTTAATCACATAACCGCAAAGACACTGTGATGGCCATAAGTGTGAGGATAGTTGTAAGCCACTTTTTTCAGCAACATTGTAACTTTGAATGGTCATAAATCAAGGACTATCTGTGTATGGCCATCCCTATGGCAATGTAAGGAAAACCAGTATGTCTTGTACTTCTTATTTGCAACTCATGATTATTTTAGATTTCTCAGAACTTCTCTGGGCATTACAATACTATTTGAAATAATAAGTATTTCTGGATTTTTTTAAAAAACTGAAGCAATAAAATACAAACATAAAATTACATAGTAAATATAAAATCTATCACATCAGATTACAGGTAGTCTTCGTTACAACCATAATTGAGACTGTTGTAAAGCAGATCATTATGTGACCGGATCCAATTGTGTGACTTTTTTTGCAGCAGTTAAGTGAATGCTGCAGTCATAAAGCAAACACTTAAATAAGCAGTTAAACAAGCCATTTTTTGCTATGGGAGCTTTTCTGCCCGAAACCGGAAGTAAACACCAATTTTCTACAAAAACATTATAAATTATGATCCTGTGACCACAAGGTGCTGCAAATGGCTGTCAATGCAGGCTGATTACTGAGTTTCCAAAATGAGGTCATGTGGCCACAGAGGCGCAATTGCTGGAACTTAAATGGGCTGTAAGTACTTTTTCGGGACGTGTTATAACTTTGAATGGTTGCTAAGCAACCAGTGGTAAGTCAAGGACTATCTGCAGAGCTATATCTCTGCAAAATACTGCAGTCGCTAAGATAATTCTCTTTCTCTCTTACCAGGTATCCATTGGCCATTCTCAAACCTCAGACTCTGTCCTGTAAGTGTCATAACAGGGGTTCCATATTCTAAGCCCAGCTCAATTTCACGGGTAGATCTGTCCAGCTGTAAAACAGAGAAATCACTTCAGTATTTTCCCAATATTTTACTTTCCTTAATTTCTATTTATTTTCTTAGCATTAGGCAAACCTGTACAAAATATGCCAAATCCATTTATTCTAGGGCATAAAAAGGATATATCTTATTCAAATATGCATGTGAAGTTGCTTAGCATCCTCACGCTGATGCTCCCATGTTGCATCATTTTAGGGAAATATGGATGCTATTCTATAGCTTTACTGTCCAGTCACTGCAGAATATGTTGGATTTCCACCATCAAGATCAGGAAACCTCCAAAATTTCTTTTGGAGATTCTTATCAAATTTCTTTTCCAACCAGCTCCTCTCCCAAGACTGGGAAATGTAAACCAGATTTCAATTCCCAGAGACTGGGAATTGAAACCAGTTATTTCAAAACAAAACAACAGTGAGAGGTGAACTAGGCTAAAATGTAAAGCCCACTCTTTTCTCTACTATGTTACAAAACAGAATAAAGATTTCATAGAGCTTAAGAGCTGCTCTAAATCTCTTCTTTTGCACACAATGCAAGGAAAACTTTTTATTATTTTTATTTATACAATTCTTTCTTCAAAGGGAGATAGATGACCAAATACATTTTGCTTTCAAAATACAAATATTATGTGGTTTACTGGTGTAGCCAACAATTTTGTGTTTTTATAATCATAGAGTTTACGCTTGGTTATTTATTGTTAAAAGAATATTATTTAAATAAAAATGGGTAAAGGTGTGTAACATCACAAGAAGGATTCAACAGGTAACAAACTGCTTTTCTGAATATTTTATATGCGAAAGTAGCTTAAAGAGTCTCCTATTCTGATAAAAAAAAATAGCATAAGGATCTTCTGTTTCTTCTAGAACTTACCAAATGGAGATTGGAAAGTGAAGCTGATTTTCTGGGTGGAGTTTTCTTTGGACTGAATGTGTTTCCAAAAAGTGGCATCTTTCTAAATTCCTCTTATCTTTGGAGGGGGAAAAAATCCCACAAAGATTATTCTTTCATTGAAAAATGCATAGATCAATCACTGCCCACAAGAGTTGGAGACAGAAAACTTTTTGACCTCAACCAGACTCTAAAATTCCCAGCTACCATTGCCTATATAGTAGCCTACATCTCCAGAAGGTACCAGGTTCGCCCAAAAAGCAACCATAAACACTGCTTTTAATCACATGCAACACGTGAGAGTAGATATGCAATAGGGGCAGCTCGGCTGAACTTCATCTGATGCTGAGTACCGACCGTCTCCTCAAGGTAGCGGGTGGCAATTTTAATGCATCTCAAGCGACCCAGCCCTAATTACGGTCTCTGCTCCAAGCAATACCCCACTGGAGGATTTTTGGAAAATCCGCTATTCCAGATCTCCTGTGCTTAGAAATGCAGAATCCAAGTTAACGCCACATTTAAAAGAGCCCCATGACAAAGGAGCGGTATTTTCTTGAAGCCGCCCCGCATCTCATACCTAGCACTTCAGACCAAATTTAGGGAACTTTCACACCACGACCACAACGCAGACAACAGTCCCAACCTTCGAAACCAATCTGCGCAGGCGCAGCCTTAACCGATGTTTGAAGCGTTGCAACCCGCGGTAGCCCTGGGACGACCGCGCAGGATAGCTGGAGCAGCAGGCAGTACCACACCAGGGGAAGGGAGAGATTATTTTTAATTTCACAATTGCGAAAGTAAGATTTGGCATGCACTCATACAAACGGAATATATATATATATATATAAACTAAGAACGCGCAACAGAATCTCTTCACAGGAGAAGGAGGGGCGTATGAGTAGAGAGCTTGCGAATTTATAACCCGTATCAGAAGAACAGCCCCCCTCTCGTGTGATGGTAGCGACCCAAGCTACTGTGAAAGGAGGCGTCAACAGCGGCAGCGGCGGCGGCGGCGATAGGGTTTTACCATCGTTGTAATCTGGGGGAGGAGGAAGAAAGAAAAAAAATAACGATTTTGATAAGAGATATTTTTAATGCTGTCATTCGGAAGATGTGTTCTCAAATAAATTATTCCCAGTTTATTACATTTTTCATAGCGAAGAAGTGCTAGGCTCTCCTTTAGTCTGGTATAAAGGTAGATTAAGGGAATAGTTTCTTCCGACGGTTGCTGTGGCAACAGAAGGACGCCAAGCGAAGGAGCGAAGCTAGACTCTTCCGGGAGAGGGCGGTCCGTGGCCTGATTCGAGCCTTGGTTGGTGTTGGCAAAGTGAGCGTTTTTTCCCCATAATAATAGCCGTCGTCCCCAAACTGAACAATGGCTGGGAGTTCTGAATGTGATTTGCTGTTCCTGGGCGGACAATGCTCAACAAGTTGTAGTTCCCATGTACCAAAATAGAGTCTCAGCCCGTCCACTTTGCTCTTGGACAGAACTAGGCAGGGAAAGAAGCGCGATACTTTGTTCCACTGTAGAATTTCTGGTATTGTTAGGAAGCTGGGTTTTTTTAAAAAATAATCAGTCGGAATCTATGTTCCAGTAACTCAAATCCATTATTCTGGATCCTACAGTTCCGAACAGTACAGAATAGTTCTTCATTATCTTCTATGTGACCTCCTCTTTATTTAGCATGGCCAGGTGTAAGGCAGTGGACTTCATTGCCGCTGTGATTTATATCATCATGTAAAAAAATACATATATTTTCCCCACAGTGCCCTATTTTCCTATATAAATGTTCTAAATAAATAAACTCAGCTTGGAAACTGAGCAGTAGCTATCCAATATAGCTAAATCCAAATTCACTTTCTTGGAAGAGGATTGTATTGGAGCCCACTTCAAAGTCTCCAGTCTCTCGCCCCCCTTGACCTGCCTTCCCCACTGCATTCATGATAGCCCCAATTCAATCTTCGCTTCCCTCCCTGATGCTAATGCAACTGCTTGTTACTCTGGCCACTTCCCCCACTTCTGCAAGACTCTCCCCAGATAATATCACAAGGTGTCACCGTGGTCTTATTCTTAGACTCTGTCCAGCCAGCTTCTAACTCCTATGAAAAATAAATAATTCCATCTGCAAAATACTTCATTAATATATCTCAGCAGCCCATCTTCTTTAATAGGGCCCAAGCTATTGTAAAAAGGACTTTCAACAAGTTTTCAATACAGTTTCCTATGTAAGTGACTCCTTTTCACATTCCAAACACTTAATTTGTTAACTTCAAGGATGATTGTGAATAAAATGTCTGAATAAAAGTGTCTTTCAAATGAAACTATGCTTTCCTTCCCTTTTTTAATGTTTTCTGCAGGATGGATTTAATACATACTAAAGCATTTTTAAGCCCACGAAATGGGTTCTTGATTTTGCCATCCCCGACCCAAGAAGAGAGAAGCAAAACCTTGAGTTGCGATTTAGATGACCTTCCACGCTGTATCCTTTTTTTCATTAATTACAAACAACATGAAGTTTCCATGAAAACATTTCTCTATATACACATGTATATTTCCATTTAGCAGAAAGATGCTTTTGTGATACAAATTGTTATTGGACCAAGTCCACACTCAATTTATTTTAAAAGAGACTTGAATTGGATCTCTGAATTAAGTGTTTGTTATGAAAAATACAAATAATTGCAACCAAACGAACTAGATTCTGTTTTAATTGTGATAAAATATTGATGTCTAGCCTGGTGCCTTAACCACTACACCAACCTGGCTCCCCAAATAAAACAATGCATATCATATTATAAAAGCAATATTAAACTAAAGGAAAAGGAGACAAAAGAAATAACAGCAACATTTGTATAGTGTCTCTCTTTATAGATTTTTGAAAAAACCCTTAACAAAATTATTAGTGTATGTCATTGGCAATATACAAAATGTGAATAAAAAAATATCTCAGTTAGAATTGGGACTGAGAAGATATGACAGTAGTGATGTGGTAAGTAAAGCTATATTGCAGCATTTTTAACATGCAGAATTCCAGAATGCATTTCTGATCTAATTTTAAGCAATTTAGGAATTGTCAAATACCTTGCTTATCCTTTCTGATGACAAGCTGAAAATCAATGCAGTTTTCTTTTCCTTTCTAAATATAAATACACTTATATAGCTGAGTAGGTGCAGAAAATAAAAACCACATACAAAGCTGATGCAGCTACATGAACAGTTTAAGTAATGAAAGCTTTTCAGCTTGAAATTACTCATGCACAAATGTATAAAACACAAAAATAGTTATCAGTCTTTGGGGAAGAGTATTGATGATTGTTAGTTGTATTGCTATTCTTCACACCATAGTTAAATCATTCTTGTTCCACATGAATGAATTATTTATCAGGTTGAACATTGTTAGCAATATAGATATTTGGATTTCTTTCAGTAAATGAAAATTTATAGAGTAACTGAAAATGAAGAACATGATTCTAGGAAAGGCAAGCACTTTAAAATGCCATTATTTTTGATGGAGGAGATGTAGTATTTTAACTATTCAGATAAATAGGAATTACAGAATAGAGAATATTTTCTTTTACAGTTCTCCAGAAATAAGATACATTTCAGAACTTTTAAAGAAAATTGTGTCAATTTATCTTTTTCTTCATTGTTATCACTGAAGGTGATTGAGGATATGATGCACAGGAAATATGCAGGGTTGAAGGGTCCTAGAAAAGGAAAACGTATAAGCAAGACGAAAGGTAAGCATAATGACAATATTAAATCAGTGGTCTAATTGCTTCAAACATAAGGTTTCATTACATCATATTTAAAAATATTCCTTTTAGTCATTGTTGGTTAAATCACATGTCTTACCAAACTGCTCTTCTAGTAACCATAGTTAAGAATCCAGAATATTTGAGGAAACTGTTGTTAGATGTGTATTTTTGCCAGAGGATTATGAATCAGGGCTAATACCAAATTACAATAACTGTATTTTGTGTATAAATAAACTCCTTTTAGCTTTAAACGCATGACAAAACAAAAACGATTGTCATGGAACAAGTCTACATTTCTGTGCCTGCATAATTACATGCAATTACATTTGCATATTAAGTGAGCTTCTACTCAGGTGCTCAATAGGAGTGTTCTTTTTCTTACATTGCAGAGAAGGATCAGGCCATGACACAGAAGTATGGAAGGCTTAGTTCGGATGCAGGTACTTTAAGAAATCAGAAAAAAATAGCTCAGAAAAAGGTATGATACTGAATGACAAATAAAAAGCCACTCTTTCCTATAAGTATATAGTATTTAGAAGCTATATTATTCTTAATGGTTAGGAAATGCAAATTTTACTGTGAGATATATGCTATGAAGAAATCATGCAGGATAGGGATCTTTATATTTAGTGACTATTAAACTACAATTTGTAACATATTGCATCAATTATGCTGATATTGCAAAATATTTTATTATGTTTACTTGGAATTCTGGGAGCTTCTGTACAAAACATCTATAATGTGCATGTCTCAAAAATATTATAAATGTGTCCTAATAGTGTTTAGCATTTAGTAGAGTGAATAATAATTGTTATTGAAATAATGTAGAATTTTTGAGGAAAAAAATTAAATACTACCCCTTTAATAGTCATATGCGTTGTCCATCCTGTATCAAATTCAAATCTCCTAATAGTGCTTTTTTAGGAAAAGAAATGCTTAAAAGAGCCAATAAATAATGTAGTTTGACCCACAGTCACACTCTGTGCAAGCATATTTAATCTATAAATTCTATAAAGATCAGGAAGCATGAAGTAATATGTTCTGGCTTATTGCTCTATATGGTAACTGTCATATTACTTAGTCTCTTACAATAGTCTCTTTAATCAGATCCGAGACCAGAATCCTGTTTAATAAACCTTAGGGCATCACTACAAGAATAACTGGGGCTTAATTTGCTTGGTGTAGTGAGTCCCTAGTCTGACTTATTTACTAACACATTACATTGAACTTAATATACTGTATTCTGAGCAACATTGCAACTTGATTGAAAAGTAGCCAACCACACTCATTTTATTAGGCAGGAGCACATTCATTTTTTTCCTGAACAGATTGCTTGAGTAGAATGTATTAAATTGTGGGCCTCCTATGTTTCTCGTATATTATTTCTTCCTTTTATCCTTAGATGATCACAGAAAAGAATAAACTTGTAGAGTTGTATCATTACCCAGGATATCATGAAGAGGAACTCACACCACTGCCCAATGGAATAGAGCTGAATGAAATTTTGGAGAAAGTGATTCGTGCTCAGAGTAAAACTGTAGTTGGGAAGGTAGTTCAGACCTTCAGGTTTATATGGCAATACTTATCTTCTGGGTAAAAATAGTAGGAATAGATTAATCATATATTTACTTGTTTTAATGTCTATTAGCACCTGATATTTATAAGTACCCATAATGCCCAATGGTGGTGATTGCACACGGTTTTTGTTTTTTTCCTTGCTCAGCTTCAAGTGAATACAGTAGATCTAGTTACTTTTCTAATTAAACAGAGTATCTAGACATAGCCACTTGATATAAACAAAAGACTTGTCATCGCTCAGTTACACAGGATAAAAGTTGTCTGTGCTCCTCCAGATTTCATCTTCCCTTATGTCTTATCATGATTAAAAATAGTGAAATGTTTGTCATTAATCCAGAACTGCAAATTTCAGGTCAATCAGTAAATCTTTTGTGATTTACAGACTGAGATGAAACCATTTTTATAGTTTGAATGGATTAGTTGAGAGCATGATCTTAATTATTCTTTTCAGGTTTTAACTATGCTTACTTATTTAGATTAGCTCACAGTTTGGAGAACTGAGATTCAAGATAACTTATACCCATTGCTATGACTGCTTAATATAGTTCTGATAAGGCCCCCAAGGCAGGGGTGAAATCTACTTACCTTCCCTACCGGTTCGGAAGTGCGCACACCATCGTTATGTCCAATTTTTGACCCTCTGCGCATGCGCAAAGCCTTCTGCACATGCGCAGAGGGTCAAAAATGGGTTACTTCCTGGTTAAAACCAGGAAGTAATGACATCTGGGCAGGTGGGTGGAGCCTCGCGCTGCCACCGCTACCTGTTCGCCAAACCCCGCACCACCACCACTACTGGTTCGTGTGAGTCGTACAGACCCGGCAGGATTTCACCACTGCACCGAGGTCTAAGGTAAAACACAATAATGGAGTAAATATACTGTAAAATATTCTTTCCAGTTAGTTCTGAGAATATTTTGACTAGTAGTTCCAAGCTTACCTCCTCCAGAGGTACAAGATAGCCAGTCCAATTATTGCCAGGCTTTGTCCATCCATAGAGGAAAGTCGGGGAATTGAAGTTCCACATTTGTGGAGGGATCATGATATGAGAGAAGACAGATCTAGACTATGCTGTTACTCTTTTGTTTCTTTACAGACGAAGTGGGCTGTGAAAATGCTGCATAGGTTTTTTGATGCTCCATGCTCCCGAGCTGTTTTGCTGGATAGTTTCTGGTGGCAATTCCTGCACTTGTATCATGTAAGGATAAAGGGTGGTGATTGATTAGATTGTTAAATTCCATTTCTCCAGTTTTTCATTTTTGGTTCACCATTTTTATATTGTTTCACTTGTTTTAAAATAATGATATTCCAAATTTAGCACCATCTATATCTCTAATATGTTCTATATAATTATAAAATTATAATAATCTGTTCATTTTGAAATATTGGCAAAGAAAAGCTATGACAGTTTTTAAAAAAAGTCTTATAACTATTGCTTTAATTTGGATTTTTGCATTAATAGCAGCACAGGTAGTCCTTGACTTACAACCATTCGTTTAAGGATGTTCAAGGTTACAATGGCACTGAAAAAGTGACCTGTGACCATTTTTCAGACTTTTGACTGTTGCAGCATCCCCATGGTCATATGATCAAAATTCAGATACTTGGCAATTGGCAGTAGAGTGTCCTAAGGTCATGTGATCACCTTTTGCAACCTCCTGACAAGCAAAGTCAATGGGAAAGCCCTATTCAATTAAAAATCATGTTACTAACTTAACAACTGTGGCAAGAAAGATCATAAAATGGAACATAACTTACTTAACTATATTGCTTAGCAATGAGAATTTTGGGCTCGATTGCGATCGTAAATCGAGGATTACCTGTAGCTTACTGACCTAAGTGTCCTTTCCAACTCTGTGATTCTGTAACATATAATGTTAATTAATATTAACAATGATGTTGTTAAAGCCAGTGAAGTACATATTTATTATATTCACTAATGCATTATGTTAACAATTTTGTAGAGGGGAGAGAAAAAGTCATGTCAGTTTATATATCTCAAAAATATTGAATATTGCAATTCAAGGGCATCAAATTTACAAGATTACTACCAGGATAACGCAAGAGGAGAGAATCAGATAATGTCTGTCTGTCTATCACATTTCTGGAAAATCAATACAGTATATGATCCTTCCCCTCTTCCTTCCTTCCTTCCTTCCTTCCTTCCTTCCTTCCTTCCTTCCTCCCTCCCTCCCTCCCTCCCTCCCTCCCTTCCTTCCTTCCTTCCGGCTTCCCCAGTGACTTTGTCAGAAAGTTGCAAAAGTGATCATATGACCATAGGGCACTGCAAACATCATAAATATGAGTCAGTTACCAAGAGTCTCAATTTTCATCACATGGTCATGGGGATGCTGCAATGTTCATAAGTGTGAAAAATGGTTATAAGTCATTTTTTTCAGTGCTATTATAACTTTGAATTGTTGTAAATCAAGGACTATCTCTACTTCTCAGAGGCAGTCCCATTTCATCTAATGGCAGTACCCTTTTACCTTAAGTATCTTTAACCAGTTTTCCTTCCTAATATTCCATTGCTATGATACTGTGGTTAAAAAAATATGCCTTCAATAACCCTGCAATTTATAATTATCCCACTAGCCAAATCGAGAAATTCAGGGGCACTTGTTTGAACGCATTGCAGGAAATTATGCCCTCATTCTGTTAGGCAACCACAGGACTTCCAACCAGGAATGCATCCTCAAGGTGAGTCAAGATTTTAAGAAATATGGGACTATAAGCAATATTAGTGTTTTTTTTAAAAAAATAAAATCTTAAGAGTGATATGATGTAAGTTTTAGAAATGCAGGAAGAAGTTTTAAATGTACGGGTTAAAACTGAGACATTACTGAATATTAAACTGTGGTTTCTTTTTCAATTATCAAGTTATGGCTTCTTATTGTGTAAAATGTGTGCCATCTCTTCTTGATTTCCAGTAAATATTAATGCTTCCCCCTCCTAGGAAAATTAGATAAAAATAAAGATGAATTTAATCTATGGATTCTTTTTTCATAAGTGGTCAGTATTTCTGCCAACAATTTTCCTCTGTTATGGTAATGATTTCTAATTTCTGTTTTCAAGGAATATGGAACTTCATTTGAATATGAAAGTTCTCTCTAGTTTTCATTAATACCAACTGAATATCTATGTAGTTATGTACATTTTTTTTTACTGTCATTTAATCATCCAACAGTATATACAGACATTTTCTATCTTTACCCTTGTGACAAGCTATGGTTTTGAGAACTAAACTAGATGCAACATCATTTGAATAATTATGCAGGGATTTCTACTGAAAGAAATCATTGCTCAAGCATATGCACAGAAATCATCTTAGTTTGTACCTGAGCGAAACTAGATAAGATTCAACAGTGTTTAAGGGGATGGGGGTGGGACCTCACCCTAGTGCCCACATAGGGATTCTAGACCAGCGGTTCTCAACCTGAGGATGAAGGGTAATATTGTTTTTTTAAAAAAATAGATGAGGAATAAATATGGCAAAAAGGAAATATAGAAATTGTAAATTTAATTGAAATGACTAAACACTGTTTAAATTTGTGAACCGGCCAAATACTCTGTTCAAAGAAAATACATTGTATGTTTGTATGTGTGTTTCTAATTATTGCTATTTATTCATATTTGTTCTCTTTTATTCTTTAAAGTTTAACAATTCATTCTTTATCTTAATATCTTTATATTTGTTTGGGGTTGGTTTTCTTCCCTTTCATCTTTTATATTGTACAGCAATCTTTCTCCTCAAACCTACCACCTCTCTCTTTTCTCTCCTTCTTACTTTCTCTTCCCCCCCTCTTCTTCTCCTCCCTACTTCCTCTTCCTTTCTCCTTCTCCTCCTCTCCTCCTCCCTCTCTTACCCTCACTCCTACTCTAATTTCCCTTCCCTTCCTTCATCCCTCTCTATTGCTGTATCCTTTTATGCATATGGACTACTCAGAGGGCTGAAAAAGTTATTTTTGACTGGTCCTCGCACTTTTGACCAATCCTCGAATTTATGACTGTCCTCACATTTTACGTTTTTTGCCCTATCTTATTACAATGGTGAAGGGAAGCAGTTGTGAAATGAGTGACATGGTTGTTAAGAATGCTGCATGAGCAGAAATGTGAGGATGGTCATAACTGTGAGGACCAGTCAAAAGTGCGAGGACCTGTCAGAAATGACTTTTTTCAGCCCTCTGAGTAGTCCCTATTCACATAGCCATGGCCACCTGGTCACATGACCAGCTAGCCACACCCACCCAGTCACATGATTTCCAAGCCACGCCCAAAAAATAAACCACGCCCACAGAACCGGTAGTAAAAAATATTAGAACCCACCCCTGGTTGGGGGTCACCACAACATGAGGAACTGTATTAAAGGGTCGCGGCATTAGGAAGGTTGAGAACCACTGTTCTAGACTAAGTCCACATTTGTCTCTTCCCCCAGGCTCTACCAGTTTCTCTCTTACAGAAGGTTAGGAGAGAAGATGACAATTTTCTGCCAATCATTAAACTTCTAATTGAGGGACTTTTGAAAAGGTTTTAAGGAGGTTTGATATTCTTATAACACAGGTTGAGAATTAATTGGCTGAGAAAATTAAATTCTCAAATACAATTGCCATAAATTTATTTGAGATTTTCTCCAACTCTTGCTTTGTTTGAGTTTATAGTTTTTTCCATCATTACTGAGTCAAGCTGTGTACATCTGCTTCTGCTCCTGTTTCCCGAGGTCCTGGTTTAATACCTCTGAATTCAAGGCCCAGCTCTGTGATGTATTCTTCGAATGGCTGGGAGGTGAGATGCCATCATATCCTTACTCAAGGAATGGATCATATAGGTTTTCACCAAGAATTCATATTTTTTTTAAATCATGTGGTATTTCAAAACATGAAGTATCACTGCCCTTCAGTTTACTTTACTCATCCTAGATAGGTAGGAACCAAAGGATGAATTTATTACTTGCACCTTCCAAAAATAGTTTGCAACAAAAAACAAAAATGCAACAATCTGAAAAAAAAAATGTAGTGCTGAAACTTTCCCTCTTGGCTGCCTAAATAGAGACTGCTTGGGAACAATAAATATCAATCTCTTTAGATGATCTTTAATAATCAGATACAACATGCTATTTTAAAACACATTATGTTGTATTCATTTGTAATCATTTGGTTCTTTCAAGTTTAATTGTGATCTTCCATCAATTTCTTCCTCTCACTCCTTTTGTTTCAGCATAAAATCTAAATTATACCAACATCCACTAGATTATGATTTTCACTATGAATCCTTTTTGGCACAACCTTGTTAGGTACACTGCATGAACCAAGAAGTTTCTATAAATGGGATTACTCCCAACTGGAACCAGAACGATCAAGGAGAGAAGATCTGATGTCAAGAAAGAAAAAAATAGGGACTGGTAAAATGTTTATGTTTTCTTCCTTGTGTAAAGGAAAATGGTCATTGATTTAAATGAAGTAGTTTCTCATTACGAACTATTATAAAGTGTTACATGACATCAATAAAATTTAAACACTATGCCAGTTTCCCCTGCTATTATAGTTCAACCATATTAAGGAGTCAAAATGAAATCAAGGTTTGTATAGTTGTCATTGATTAATGTTAAATATATGATTTGCATGCAGAAGACCGCAAATTTGGATATTCCAATTAATAGTATTTCAATAGAGAACATGAGAAATATTGACTCTTCTTGCCAGATTATAATGCAAAGCTGGCTAGATCAACGGCCTAAAACAGTACAAATTAGACTTACCATATTTTCTTTTGCATTTTCAAAATTAAAGTTTTAGGAAAAACATTAATAGTACATACATCTTAAAGCAAAGTCAACTATAGTAAATAGATCAATCTGAAAATGATACACAATCTCTCTGATATTTTGTAGAAGGTGAGCATCTGGATGCAAATAGCTATTGCAAATCCTCTTACTACATTTTAACCCTCTTACCATATTAACTGTAATATAAGCCTAGAAATTTGGTTTAATTTTTTCATGATTATATACCTGCATAATACCTAAATTTTCCACATGTGGATAAATTACAAGTTAAAGCAATCCTGATTATAATATGCCTTAGAGATGAAGAGCAGCCTATAGCTTATATGTATATGTGTATATATATGTATATGTTGTGTGTGTGTGTGACTGCCTCTCTTGAAAATAGGTTGCAACACAATGTTGTAGAGAGCAGGCACTGGATTCAGGGCAGGGAGAATGTACCAGCCTTTATTGATTAAATTTCATATTTCATTCATTTCTATAGGCACTGGTATATCGTTTGAGAGCTACAAGCAATACAGTTCTACAGGAAAGACTCAATTGCAGAAGGTAAAATATGAATTGGAGTTGGAGATAAAGCCATTTTTATTTCATTTGGGATGTGAAGAAGAAAAGAATTTACCAGATGCAAAAGCTGAATTTAATGCCTATTAGCCTATTAAGCAGTGTTGGAATTCAGCCGGTTTGCGCTGGTTAGGGAGAACCATTTGTTAACTCTTTGTGGAGTTTTGTGAACCGGCTGAATAGTCAAGCCTGCCTGCCAACGATTCCAGTAGCTCACACCCACCTCAGACCTTCCTGCTCATTTGTAATTAACCAAAGGAAGGGAGAAGAAAAAGAAGAAATAACCACATAGCCATTTCTTCAGCAGAAAAATTCTAGCCCCTTTAAAACTCAGGCTTAAAGTGCAAGAGAGGTTTTTTTCCCCTTCTCTCTCCTTTCAGTTAATAGCTCCAGGCAGACAGCCAAGAACCATTTAACAGGCTATTTAGTTGCGATAATAAAACTGCAGGAATGCAGCCAGCACAGCCTTGAATAAACAATAGAAAATTGACAGGATTAGGACAGGGAAGGAGCTTTAAAAATGTTAATACAGAGCAGGAGTTTCTTGTCAGAGTTCTTACATCTTTTGAAATACATGTTCCAATTAGCAGAATTGATTTTATTAATTTGGAATAGTGTTGCAATGTTGTTTCTATGTTTTATGTATTTTGATACTACATTTTCAGCATTTAAGAGTTAGTTTACAGTATTAGACTGTAAAGATTTCAATTTATCTTGTAACTGTGTTGCTTGTGTGTGATGGAGCATTACCAGCTTCTGAAAGCAAGGTATTCCATTGGTTGATTGGTCTCACACTTAGGAAATTTCTTCTTAGTCCTAGGTTGCTTCTCTGTTTGGGTAGTTGCCATCCACTGTTTCTTGTCGTGCCTTTTGGTGCTTTGGAAAATAGATTGACCCCCTCATTTTTGTAGGAGCCCCTCCTGACAGTTAGAACAATTAATTAGTGGAATAACTTGCCTCCAGAAGTTGTAAATGCTCCAACACTGAACATTTTAAAGAAGAGATTGGATAACCATCAATAGTGGGTTCCACTTGCCTTTGCTACCAGTTCGGAATCGGGAGTGCGTGCACGCTTGCTTCACTCGCGCGCGGCCCTTCTGCACATGCGCAACACCTTCTGTGCATGTACAGAGCATCTGTGATGACATCTGGGTGGGTAGGCGGAGCCTCCCACCGCCACTACCAGTTTGCCCGAACTGGGGCGAACCGGTAGAAACCCACCACTGATAACCATTTATCTGCAGTGGTGTAGGGTTTCCTGCCTAAGCAGGGGGTTGGACTAGAAGACCTCCAAGGTCCCTTCCAACACTGCTATTCTATTCTATTCTATTCTATTCTATTCTATTCTATTCTATTCTATTCTATTCTATTCTATTCCATTCCATTCCATTCCATTCCATTCCATTCCATTCCATTCCATTCCATTCCATTCCACTCCACTCCACTCCACTCCACTCCACTCCACTCCACTCCACTCGACTCAATTGCAGAAGGTAAAATATGAATTGGAGTTGGAGATAAAGCCATTTTTATTTCATTTGGGATGTGAAGAAGAAAAGAATTTACCAGATGCAAAAGCTGAATTTAATGCCTATTAGCCTATTAAGCAGTGTTGGAATTCAGCCGGTTTGCACCGGTTAGGGAGAACCATTTGTTAACTCTTTGTGGAGTTTTGTGAACCGGCTGAATAGTCAAGCCTGCCTGCCTGCCTGCCAACGATTCCAGTAGCTCACACCCACCTCAGACCTTCCTGCTCATTTGTAATTAACCAAAGGAAGGGAGAAGAAAAAGAAGAAATAACCACATAGCCATTTCTTCAGCAGAAAAATTCTAGCCCCTTTAAAACTCAGGCTTAAAGTGCAAGAGAGGTTTTTTTCCCCTTCTCTCTCCTTTCAGTTAATAGCTCCAGGCAGACAGCCAAGAACCATTTAACAGGCTATTTAGTTGCGATAATAAAACTGCAGGAATGCAGCCAGCACAGCCTTGAATAAACAATAGAAAATTGACAGGATTAGGACAGGGAAGGAGCTTTAAAAATGTTAATACAGAGCAGGAGTTTCTTGTCAGAGTTCTTACATCTTTTGAAATACATGTTCCAATTAGCAGAATTGATTTTATTAATTTGGAATAGTGTTGCAATGTTGTTTCTATGTTTTATGTATTTTGATACTACATTTTCAGCATTTAAGAGTTAGTTTACAGTATTAGACTGTAAAGATTTCAATTTATCTTGTAACTGTGTTGCTTGTGTGTGATGGAGCATTCCCAGCTTCTGAAAGCAAGGTATTCCATTGGTTGATTGGTCTCACCCTTAGGAAATTTCTTCTTAGTCCTAGGTTGCTTCTCTGTTTGGGTAGTTGCCATCCACTGTTTCTTGTCGTGCCTTTTGGTGCTTTGGAAAATAGATTGACCCCCTCATTTTTGTAGGAGCCCCTCCTGACAGTTAGAACAATTAATTAGTGGAATAACTTGCCTCCAGAAGTTGTAAATGCTCCAACACTGAACATTTTAAAGAAGAGATTGGATAACCATCAGTAGTGGGTTCCACTTGCCTTTGCTACCAGTTCGGAATCGGGAGTGCGTGCACGCTTGCTTCACTCGCGCGCGGCCCTTCTGCACATGCGCAACACCTGTGCATGTACAGAGCATCTGTGATGACATCTGGGTGGGTAGGCGGAGCCTCCCACCGCCACTACCGGTTTGCCCGAACTGGAGCGAACCAGTAGAAAGAAACCCACCACTGATAACCATTTATCTGAAGTGGTGTAGGGTTCCTGCTTAAGCAGGGAGTTGGACTAGAAGACCTCCAAGGTCCCTTCCAACACTGCTATTCTATTCTATTCTATTCTATTCTATTCTATTCTATTCTATTCTATTCTATTCTATTCTACTCTACTCTACTCTACTCTACTCTACTTACTCTACTCTACTCTACTTCCACTCCACTCCACTCCACTCCACTCACTCCACTCCACTCCACTCCACTCCACTCCACTCCACTCCACTCCAAATATTGGAACAGTGCTATTTTATTGTGCTATTCATTGTGAGTTGAACTAAGGAGAAATTGCTAAGGGTGAGACCAATCAAGTTGGCCACATCCACCCAGTCACATGACCCCCCAGCAATGGTGAAATCTTCTACGGATCACCATCAGTTCGCTGCCTGCACATGCCGCTGTGTACCAAGCGCACATGTTGCATGCACGCATGTGCAGCACACGCCAAAAGCACACTGTGCATGCCTGTGCGCTGCACGCCAAATGCGTGCTTCGTGTGGAAAAAGAAGACTTCACTAGGTAAGTAGAATAGCGAGGGAGGGAACAGCTGTGCTATGCGATTTAGCTTCGCTAGAAAGCAGGATTTTCTGCTTTCTAGTGAATATAAACCACATGGCACAGCTGATCATCAGAAATACTGGTTCAACCGAACCAGTAGCTTTTATCACTACTGGTTAGCCCGAACCGAAGCGAACCGGTAGCATTTCATCCCTGCCACCCAGCCACACCTACCCTGCTGATCATTAGGGCAGAGACCAGTTGTTAAATTATTTGAATCCCACCACTGCCATTAAGAATATATTTTTACAAAAAAAATCAATCAAAACAATGTTTGTGGCAAGCAATCATGCACAGTTATTTTGCTTCTTTTCAAAGAGCAGAGGATCTTAGATTCCAAATATATTTAAACTCTATTTTTCTTTGAAAATTGTGCCAACCCATAAATCAGATTGTAATTCCCTTTACAGTTCTCTTTCCTAAAGTCTGATATTCTAATATGAACTGATATTTATGTTTTTTTCATCTTTCTTTTCTGATATTGAAATAGATTCCATCAAAGAAAACATTTAAGATACCTATTAAAAAAGGCAAAAAAACTGTATCTGGGAAAAAAGATCAAAAGCAGCTTTCCAAAAAAGTTACTGCATTGGAAAGTGAAGGTAACATCTACAGAATTTTCTATAATACCAGCTTTAATTATGTATGTGTGATTTTGTTTTCAGACTAAGTAAGCAACAATAACGTAGAATGCTCTCTCCAATTGAATAGATATAATCGTCATAATCTCTCCAATTATAAAAAGGTCCCTTGTTTTCATATATCATGCAACCATATTCCTATGACATAAAGATACAAATATGCTTTATTTAGTTGGTTTACAGAGCATTCACAAGAGAATAATCTTGTATTGCTGATATTTATCACAAAGCTTGTCTAGTACATGTCTAGATCATAAAGTACTGCATTTTCCCTTAAGGATTGAATGGAAACACAGAAGGTCTTCACTGGTTTACTTCTTTTTTTTTTTTTAATTTTTTTTTATAAACATTTTATATTTTAAATTACTAACATTACAAACAACATATACAATATTTCACCCTGTGCTATACATAAGAAAGGAAGATTTGGTTCTTCGGATATATCCTCATGATCGCCAAAATCCACGTTCTCGGGGTACAGGTACCGAAGCATCCAATTTTCCCAGCGCATAGTCCATAAATGGTTTCCAAATTTTCCAGAAAATATCTTCTTTATAGTCACCATTTCTAATTTTAATATCACATGTCATTTTATCATTTAAAGCTAATTTCCACATTTCACAATACCATTCTTCTATTCTAAAATTCACATCTAATTTCCAATATCTGGCTATTATAATTCTACCCATTATAATCATAATTCTAATCAATTCTTTCTCATATTTTGTTGGTTCTATTTCCTTAATTATCAACAGTAATATAGTTTCTGGTCTCAATATTATTGCTTTCCCCATCATTTCAAACATCATTTCCTCCAATTGTTGCCAAAACTTTTTAACTTTATCACATTTGTACCACATATGTTCATAAGTCCCTAATTCCATATCACATCTCCAACATTGTTTACTAATTTTTTTATCCATCAATGACAATCTTAATGGAGTCAAATACCATTTCCAAACAACCTTATAATTATGCTCTTTAATCCTTACAGATAAAGTCTTCATAATTCTACTCTTCCAATTCACGTTCCAATCTAAATCTGATATTTTAACATTAAGTTCTTTTTCCCAATTCATCTTCATCACCCTTTGTGGTTTTCCATCAAAATTTATAATCTTATATATCTTACTAACGAGTCCCTTTAGCCCAATTTCATCTTTCATAATTTGGAATACTAAATATTCAAATTCAGTTTTACTTCTACTTATCGAACAATTGTCCCTTACCTTCTTAGTCCATTTTTCTATCTGTATTTTTTCAAACCAGCCTAAACCCAATTTTTCAATGATTTCTTTTTTCCTCCTATTCGGACTGTGGTAAAAATATTTAAAGGTGAAGATAGTCATTGGAGAGATTTAGAATTAAAGGACATCAAGAGATTTGGCTCAACATTTTTTTTAGATAAAGCAAAATCAAAATGTGTAATTAATAGGTATTGGTTAAAGGGACTGAGTAAAATTTGGAACAAATTTGTTAAAATTTTAATTCCAGATATAATTTTCTTAGGGAAGACAATTGAAAATTGGCCGATTAAAACTAATATAAGTCGTGATAGAGTAATGGAAGATGAAAATATACAAACTATAATAGATTGGTTAAAAACTTCAGAAAATGAAAAGGTTCACTGGTTTACTTCTGTACCATAGATGAACTGATTTACAGATGAACACTCTGTGAAGCTACAATTGTTTTACAATTGTTTTAAAGTTTCCCCATTGATTACAATCATTTTTGTTTCTTCTCTCTTCCTAGCTCTGGAACTTCAGTTAGCTTGATAGTTTTGTAACTTCACCTTAGTAGCCAGTTTCTCAAAGCTCTTGTCTTGTCTTGTTTTCCCTTTCCCCTTGGTAGGGAGTGATGGTAAGGAGATTTGTGTTGTTGTACACCATAATAAGTGTGTTTGTTTTCAGCATTTCGGTAGAACAATCACAGATCACCTTTAAACTACTTCTGATAATTTTGGGAGTGAAAATAATAGCTGGAAGTGTTCTATAAGACTAAATGCTATTGCTATAAGATTTTGAACATTAGCAGAAAGATTCTGTATATTACTATATAAGATATGAATGCAGTTAATTGCATGTTTTTCTATGGATTCTTTTTAAAAAAGCAAAACTATAAAATCCTTGCTAAACCTTAATAAAACAGATAGAAAATTGAATTCATTTTTTACTGATCTGCACATCTAAAATGCATCTAATTTATGCTGCCTAGATTTGATGAGATGAGCAGCCATATAAACCTAATACAGATATTCCTAGGCGTACAACTGTTCATCTACATAAATAAATGATGACCCCTACACAAATCAGCACTCCTTTGTTCTGGAAGGGTTTTCTAATTATAGGCCAGTCTCAAATATTCAATTTTCAAATAAAGTGATTGAGAAAACAATAATTCTACAACTCCAACTATATCTGAATGAAATTTATTTTGGGGGCCTGTTGATTCACGGATATGGTAATAAATGTAGTGAAAAACTCTGATTGTGGTCTGCTAATAAAATATGTATTTGTTCATCCATGAGGTCACCTTTCTTTGATACTTGAATATGAGTAATAACTTCTTTGGAAAGTAAACTGTATATGTTATTTATTTATTGATTGATGGTTATTTGAATATATAATTCCTAATAAATAAATGATCAATCAAATGTGTGTCTTTTTAGAAATAAAGCCTATTACATCCAAAAGTGATCAGCTTACAGAGGATAATGAGAAAACTGTATGGAGTAGCCAACAGAACTTACCCAAAAGGAAATTAAAAATAGCTATACTTCCTCGAGAGGTAACATTATTTATGGATAATATAAATGTTAAAATTAAGTAATTATGGTAGATCTGAATAAAATAAGAATGTATTACTTACTCTTGTCCAAATTAGCCTTTGACGTCATAACTTAATTCTTTTCAATTATTTCAACATATTTTTGCTTGATTTATTTTGTAGCAAAATAAATCAGCTTTCTCCCAGGCAATTAAAATAATTTGTGTAAAATGAACTAATGATCCAGAAACGTTTTACAAATCTGAGAGTTGTTCAACATTATGTTTGGGTTGGTTCCAGAGGTGGGCTGCTGCCGGTTTGGACCGGTTTGGGTGAAACCAGAGTTGCGACCACCCGCCCCGGTGCTATCCCATCCAATATCACCATGTTTTTGAAGTTGCGCGCATGTGCGGAAGGCCGCAGACATGCACAGAAGGGCATATTTTTAGTGCTGGGCGAACTGGTTGTTATAACTGGCAGCAGCCCACCACTGGTTGGTTCATAAGAGCCAAGGTGGCGCAGTGGTTAGAGTGCAGCACTGCAGGCTACTTCAGCTGACTGCTAGCTGCAGTTCGGCAGTTCAAATCTCGCTGGCTCAAGGTTGACTCAGCCTTCCATCCTTCCGAGGTCGGTAAAATGAATACCCAGATTGTTGGGGGCAATATGCTGACTCTATAAACTGCTTAGAGAAGGCTGTAAAAGCACTATGAAGCAGTATAAGTCTAAGTGCTATTGCTATTGCTATATCAGCCTCCTTGAGATTGTGATGAGTTCAGAGTCAACCTGACAATAAGCATCACTCATGTAGAAAGACTGGCTACATTTAGATGAATTGTGTAATAGTTAATTAGGATATGATGGATATTGAATATCAGAAAATTCATATATGTAGAGAAAATTTATCAAAATTCACAGGAGAATTTCAGAAGAAAATTATTTAAATTACAGATATTCTGCATATAATTTTTTTTCTTCTGTTCAATCATGTCAAATTCTTGGAGACTAACTGGAAATGTCCTGGCAGTTTTCTTGACAACTATACAGAAACAAGATCTAAAGGGGATTGTGAACAGTTTTAAATATATTGCCAAAGTTGTGGCATAATCATTCACCTGATAAAAATTATTCATTCTGAATGTTGCTTTAATAATAGATCTAATAGTTCTGTTTATTTACTTTCTAGTCACACCCAGCTTGCCATGGTCCTGACTTTATATGGCATCGCTTCAATATTAGTGGTCATAGTCCACTAATTCAACATTACTTCCAGAAACATGGTACTGAATCAAAATCAGGATGTGACATCTTTGTTTCTAGGAGGGAGATATACAAACCAATGCCATATCCTTATGATGTTCAGAAGGGAAGTATTGATGGAAAATTCTTAAGATTGAGCTTCTTGGCTCACTATTATAACTTTTTTCCAGTATAATATTTAAGAAATGCATTGTTAAATTTACTTATAAATGTCTAGGTCATTTGGGGAACCCATTATTGTACTTTTTGGAGTATGAGACACACTTTTACATACACCCCAAAAGTGGCTGAAAATTGCAGTGCATCTTACACACCAAATGTTGCCAAAGCCCCGCCAACCCGCCGGCCCCCACCCTTCGGCTCCAGGCAGCAGGGATCGGCGGTGGTGGAACTTGACAAAAATGTGACACACAGAGGCCAAAAATGGGGCGTGCAGAGGCCGAAAACGCGATGCGAAGAGGTGGCGATCAGTGGAGATGTGCTGTGGTGATCCTGGCAACCTGGAACAGGTCTAAAATGAAGTGTGTGGAGGCTGAAAACGCAACGCACGGAGGCCAAAAGTGCAACACACGGAGGTGGCCATGGGCTGGCGATCCCCGCAGCCTGGAACAGCTGATTGGCAGTATTTTGGGAGGCTGATCCAACCACCAATCAGCTGCTCATGCTGAATCAGGCTGCGATAATGTGCTGAAGCTAACCAGGCTGTTTGTTGTTTGTTGCAAGGACGCTAGCCTGATGAGTACTAATGGATGCTGGTAGGCAGAGGCAGAATTTTTTTTTCTTGTTTTCCTCCCCCAAAACTAATGTGCATCTTATATTCTGGAGCGTCTTATACTCTGAAAAATACAGTACTTTTTTTTTTTATAGTTTGCTTAAGAAAAAAATTCTAAGTAGAAATTTCCTTTACATTTAAATTCACTGATTCTGTCAAAACATATGCAGAAGTGATCAAGGAAGGTTTTCATATCCTCCATCAGAAGCACAAAGCCTTCAGAAAATGTTATTGGCAACAATACAGAGAAATGATAAAATTTGATGAACAGAACAAATGTAATCAGGAACTTTACAGGTACCCAAAAGTGTATATTGAAACTGTTTGATTTTATGCATCTAATGCCCACATTTTAAAACTGTTTCTGGATGTAGATATGGTTTATATAACAGCCACATTATTTTCTTCCTCTATACTTTCAATTTTTGTTTCATACCATCTTGTGATGATCTAGCCTATTCTTTTGAATTGGCCAATATTGCTTTAATAAAGAATTGAAATGAATTCTAGCATCACGATATCAACATGAGGAAAACAGGGCTCCCTCTAGGAATTTTCTGTTTCTTACACAATGCATTTATTGTTAATTCTTATTTCTTCATGAATTATTCATGAATTCATGAACTATGAATTATTAATTACACTAACTAATACATTGCTTTAAGGATTTTTGTATTTGTTGCTCCCATATTTACATAGTTGATTTGCCCTGAGCTTAACTGTTCAACAAAATTCAAGCTTTTACTTTGTAACATCCCTGTGTACTCTGTAAGAATTGCATTTCTGTTGTGTGGATGTTATACTCTTCCAGAAATTAATGTGATTTTCTTTGGAAAAAAATCCTAGTAACTTAAATATATTACTGTACTTTTCCTATACTGGAGAAGTCAACTGCTTAAACACTTTTAATAAAATGACAGGAACAAGTTCTTATACTACCCTAACTCCTGCAGGCTAGTTTCCTCCACATCGTCACCACTCAGCCATTATATTTGAAAGAAATATGTTATTCTATGAAAAAAAATTCAATATCTCATAAAAATTCAATATCTCATAAGTAGATGGATTGTAAGTAAGTAACTTGGACTCATTGTGGAAGGCTTTATGAATGTACATATGTGTACATATATTTCAAGCTTTTACGAGTTGCCTGCTTGAGAGCTTTATTAGAAAATATGGCTTCAATCTTTAGCTGTAATCATAACCTAGGTTTCTTCTCAGCTTTAAAATTCAAATAATTTATCTTCTGCTCCTTTATGCTCAAGTTAATTTCAATTTTTCTCTTATCATCTTGTTCTTCAGAGAAGCTATAAAAGAAGAGATGAAAAAGAGAAAGGCACAAAAACAAAAAGAATTGCTTTCTTTGAGAGATCGGCAGAATAGCTCAGAACCTTCATCCCTGTTTTCAAAAGATTCATCCGGGAAACACCGTAGTTATCCTAGATCTCTCCTTTTGAACTGACATTGATTGAGTTCAGTTGGAAGCATGTTACAGAATGACAATTTAAATAAAATTAAAGAACCTAGGCTTGGTACTACATGTAAATGTATTGCTAATTAGAAATAAATGAGTGCTACTATATTAAGGGGGAAGAATATGATTATGTTTTGGGAATGTTACTGGATATAATTTCTTTTATTACTTTTGACTATGATATGTATAATTCTTTCCCATTACATTTGATTTTATTGTTGTATCTGTTCATTCTTTGTCCAGTTTAAGAATATACTGACTCTAAATTGGATTATTTGCAGCTTTTCTAACACCAATTTCATAATAGGTATACCTAACGGCAATACTTCTTTTCTTTAGAATTATCATTGGGGGTGTTACTTGGAACTCTGCCAATATCTAAGTTTGGAGTGTTTAATTTGTTTACTGAACTCTACATTTTAGCTCCTAGTGAAACTAATTTGCAAGGTGTTATTTTTCTTTGTTCTTCCATATTAGCCCCAGTAAATGAAGTTTAAAAGAGCATCTCTTTTTAAAGAAGAGCATTTCCAAATATTAAAAATTGTATCATACTAGTATGTCTATAATAAGTTGTAATTATGTTGTAATTTAATTATGTTGTAACTAAATCATGACAACAATAGATATGGATTGTAAATATATATAATTAAGAGAAATTATTTCTATTCTATTTGTCAGAATATAATATTTTATTAGGGTCTGAGCACTACCTTTCAAAGAGGATATTCCTAAACTGGAGCATATACAGAGGAGAGCAACCAAGATAATTAGTGGCCTAGAAGTTTACATTTGTGAGGGGGAAACTGGGAAGACATGATAGGTCTCCTCAAGTGTCTGAAGGGCTGCAATTCTGTCCAGGAGCATTTATCAAGTTGTTCCTGAAGATATACCAAGAAAAATTGAGCTTAAAGAAGGTAGATTTTAGTTGATCACAAGAAAAAAAAATTCTAATAGTAAAAGCTGTTCTGTTCTGCTCTTAATTTTTAGGAAGCTTTTCCTTAAATCCATTATTCTGTGTCCTTTGGAATGGTATGCCAGTGTTTCCCAGTCTTGGCAATTTACTGTGGAATTCTGGGAGTTGAAGTCCACATATAGCAGTGACCAAATTCGAAAAACACTGTCTGAGAAACTATTTTCTTTTTTCCCGCCAATTTGGGAGCTCAGTTCCCAGCAGCTGTAAACTGTGCCTCCAAAGTCGATGTCTGAGCTGCAGGCCAGTCTGTTTCAACTTGGGTTAAACTCAGCTGCATATAAAGCAAGGTCTGAGCAGCATTTTGAATGAAGAGAAATCAGCATCTCTGTCCCTAAGGCTACAGATTATTTCCCCCCAGGCTCTCCCAGCCCAATTTACTTCCAAAATTACTAAAATGTTACTAACAAGTTGGCATGAAGGTGACATGAGGAGAGAGCTGAGAGGAAATAAACTTCATGGACCTAATTTTACCTCAGAGCCTAACTTTACCCATCTAATTTGCCTCAGCAGAATGTCTGGTGAGGAAGCAATAGAGGTGTGAGTAGGGGAAATCTGACATGCTATTCTGAGCTCCTTTGTGATAAAAAAAAAACATAACTTTTAAATGGGAGATAAAGGAAGGCGGCCTTTGTGAACTTTATGCTTCCAGCTTTCATTCTGAGGCAAGACCCCAGAATAAGAGTTGGCCTCCATAGAGAAAATCTGTATTAAAATGTGTTCTAGAAGGATGGGGATCACATGTAACTTGTATACCGTACACCAGTTTTTTTCAAACTTGCACTTTAAACAATATTATTTATTTATATATATATATATATATATATATATATAAAATTTTGATTTATATGACGCCCTTCTCCGGAGACTCAGGGCGGCTTACAATGCGCTAAGCAATAGCCTTCATTCTTTTGTATATTTATACAAAGTCAGCTTATTGCCCCCACAACTGGGTCCTCAATTTACCTACCTTAGAAAGGATGGAAGGCTGAGTCAACCTTGAGCCTTGGTGAGATTCGAACCTGCAGTAATTGCAGGCAGCTGGTCTTAATAACAGGGTGCCTTAGACCACTGTACTACCAAGGCTCTATGTATATTATTTCTCATTTATTAGGGTTTATTTATTTATTGCAGATTTAGACAGGTAAATGTGGCCTATGATGGAAGTGAACAACATTTTTATGTATATATGATATACAATTATGTAATAGATATATTGCATAATTATTTATTATCTATCTACACACATACACATTTATCATCTATGTACATACACACAATTATAATACAGGAATGTAATTTTAAGATGATTAGATAAGTTATACAACACACCATAATAAAATTCACTGTGAACATATTAGTTTATTGTTACCATAGTTTTACTACCACATTGGTATATCCTGCATTTATTGGGATTTTATCTTGAAAACAGCACACTGACCCATGGGTTTTAGTCTTTAATTGGCCAGACTATGTTCCCTTGCCTTCCAGCTAAGTCAGATTGCCTCCTGTGAATATTAAAGTTAAAACATATACTAAATATATAGTGTGATGACTGCCTTCATGTATTATAGACATTCATAATTACAGTGAACTGGATGTGAAAGAAGTTTTTTTTTAATTTCTCAAATTATGCTGCAAAAATTTTGGTAATCTTTTTCTCCGTTTGAATCTCTCTACTTGGAAAAGATTTAAATCAGTGCTGATTCAAAGATCAGATCACTGTAGTGGTGTGTGATATATTTATTTTTGAATGAAATTCATCTTAGTTAATGTATTTCGGCAATCTGCTTAGCCCCTTCTAGGCTAGCATAATATGGTAAACATCAAAAACTTATAAAATAATTAGCATATTTATGTTTTTTAGCAGTATTGAATTGATTTCTGCAGCACTGACTGAATTCTATTAGTTCTATTTTCACAATGAAATCTGTAGAAGACCAAGTTGTACAAGAAGAACTAGGATACCAAGATGAAGAGGTATGGAAGTATATTTGGTTCAGTAATAATTTTCAATGTAAAGTCTCTTGAGAAAATCCCATACAAGAAATGTAATAAAATGGATAGTTCATCTACAAATAATAAATTAAACATATATCTATGTTTATAGTGTCATTACTTATCAGCATCAAAAGAATAAGAGTTAATTGGCAACAGGCAGGTGACCTCAGCTGAGAACAAAAAGGTAAACAGGATTGGACTTGGTGCCTGAGGAGGTATCAGGACTATAGACTAATTAAAAACTTGAGACTTGGATGGAAAGAAACAGGCTGAACCTAAAGTCAACTAAGATGGTGATCGAGAAAGTGGTGGCATTGCAACTGTGGAGGATCCTGGAGGAAACAGATTATTTGGATCCTTTACAGTCATGTTTCAGGCCCAGAAATGGGACTGAAACTGCATTGGTCACACTCATAGATGATGTCTGATGGGAGCAAGACGGTGGCAGTGCTTCTATCCTTGCTCTCCTTGACCCTTCAGCAGTTTTCAATACCATCAACCATGGTATCCTTTTGGGCCAACTTGAGGAGTTGGGTTGGGCGGCACAGTTTTGTGCTGTTTCCCCTTCCTCCAAGGCCAGTCCCAACTGGTGTTGATAGGAAATGAAAAGTCCAGCTCATGGCCCCTTTGTGGGGTGCTACAGGGCTTGGTGCTCCTTTTCAACATCTACATGAGATCACTGGGTGAGATCATCCGTCTCCATGAAATGAGGTATCACTAATATGCTGACGATACCAATTATATATCTCCATTCCTGATGAAATGAGTTCTGCAGTGGATGTCCTTTCACAATGCCTGGATGCTGTGGAGGTCTAGCTGGGTAACAACAGACTTTAACTGAACCCAGTAAAAGAGTGGATGGTCTTTTCTGTTCCTGGGAGTTTATCATCCCTGATCTTGGATGGAGTTGCACTGCCCCAGTCAGACCTGGTGCATAACTTGGGGGTCTCCTTGACTCATGACTCCTGCTCAAAAGCAGGTGGCAGCCATGGCCAGGAGGTCATTAGCGCAACTCCATATTGTGCACCAATTAAGCCCTTTCCTGGACATGGAAGCTCTATGTTCAGTCACTCATGCCCTGGTCATCTCCTGATTGGACTATTGCAATATGCTCTATATTGGGCTATCCCTGAAAAGTATTTGGAAGTTTCACTGGTGCAGAGTATGGCCATATGGTTCTACTTACCTTAACTACCAGTTTGCAACAGGAGTGTGCATGCGCAGATCGTCAATTATGACATCCAGGTGGGTGGGCGGAACCTCCCGCCGCTTTTACTACCGGTTCTAAAGAACCAGATAGAACTGGGAGCAACCCACCACTGGGCCATATTGGGTGCCCAAAGAAGGACACATATGATATAACACCTTTGCTCCATGAACTGCATTGGATACCAGTTTTCTTCTGGGTCCAATTCAGGTGTCGGTCATCACTTACAAAGTTCTACATGGCATAGGATCAAATTACTTACAGAACTGGATTCACCCCATCTCATCAGCCTGTCTCACTCAATCAGGAAGAGAAGATACACTTCAGGCCCTGTCGGTTAAAGAATTTTGGTGGAGTCTAGGAAGAGAGCCTTCTTGGACACTGCCCCCACTTTATAGAACGTCCTCTCCCCAGAGGTGAGGAAAGCACCCCCCCCCCAATATCTTGACCTTCTGCAAAGGAGTTAAAACTTGGCTCTGCAGCCTTGAATGGGGGGGGGGCACAGAAGACTATGCAACTGTGATGCAAGCTAGTCCCATGAGAAATCCCCCCACATACCTGTAATAACCATCTTGGAATGGCCATTTTAGGATTTTTCTTTTTTCCCTTTTTTGGTGTTTAATTGTCATTCTATAATTTTAAACATTTTAAACCTAATTTAATTTAATTTTTTATACAAGATTTTATTTATTGGTTATATCCTGTCTTTGGCGGAGATGGGCAGTTTAAAAATATAAATATAAATAAATAAATAAATAAATAAAATAACCAATATTCTGTTCTCATGTTATAGGAATCATTTTTCCAGGACATTGATCTGTTACAGAAACATGGAATTGTAAGTACATTTAGGGATTAAACTACAATACTATAACAACAGCAAAAGTGGATGTTTTCTCAACTCTTTTGATACACTTAAACATGATTCTCTCTTTCAGTCTTTTATTATTTACACTTATATTTATCCTAATACTTTTTTTTCTATCTGTGCTAAAAGGAGGAGATTGTGCATATGTGTGTTTTTATCTGTATTTTTGTGAAAGCGGTTTACATGTGTGTGAGAGAGAATGGCTGGTGTGAGAAAGAATACTTGACATAAATGAATATTGTAAAGGGAATACCTTATTTTAAAGGCAAATAATTTATTAGTTTTTAAAAAATCCTATCATTATTTTTTATAAATAACTCAAGGCAGCTTTCATACCTAAGGTGGGACTAGAATTCACAGTCTCCTAGTTTCTAGCCTGGTGCCTTAACTATTAGACAAAACTGTCTTTTCCTTACCATGCCTTTTTTGATGTATGGATTGTGGTAGTGAATTTATACATGTATAAATGCATATAGATTTATAACTTTTCCTCCTGCACATGTTTATTGGTGAAAGAGGGATGAAATCTGCAGCACTGGTTTCACCTAGTGTTGGCAGGATGAGACTGACAAGATGAAGAAATTATTCAAAGAAGTATTTATTTCTGGGAAGATCATCTTAAATTCAGGGCCATCTTTCTTTCACTACTTTAGACCATGTTTCCTTCACAGAATGTAGCAGACATTAAGAAACTGAAATCAGTAGGAATTTGCACAATCAAAGGGATTCAGATGACAACTAAGCGAGCATTATGTAATGTGAAGGGACTTTCGGAAGCCAAAGTAGAGAAGATAAAAGAAGCAGCCAACAAACTTATAGTAAGCAAAAAGTATCCCACTAGATTTTGTTTATTGTTATTTCCTACAGGAAACCTGAGAATGTACAGGTAGCCCTCAACTTTAGTGTATGTGATTCACTAAACTTAAATATATCACATTTTCTAGGCAAGCATTTAATTCTACACTTTCCTGGTTTTCTTTTTCTTTTCTTGCTCCTCAGAAAAACTAGCAAAAAACACTAAGATTTGACATCTTGCATTGTATTACCCTAGCTCTCAAGATTGGAGAATTCTGATAAAATTATTCAAAGTTATTAGAAAGTGATACATATACATATGCATATGCATATACATACTGTATACATATACATATACATATACATATACATATACATATACATATACATATACATATAATTACAATAAAATACAAGTTACAACTAAAAATGGGAAGGGAGAAGAATATACGAGGGGGAAGTGGGAACTGCTATTAATTGATCAACCACCTCCAGTGTGAAATTCCCCTATCAGGGCTCCAAGCCAATAGGCAGAACCAGGTCTTCAGGCTCTTACAGAAAGTCAGGAGAGTTGGAGCCAATTCGACCTCAGGGAGCAACATGTTCCAAAGGACTGGGGCCACAGCACAGAAGGCTCTTCTTCTGAACCCCAACAGCAGAATTCATTGACTGATGGGATCTGCAGCATGCCTCCACTGCTGGCATGGGTGGGGTGGACCTGTTCCATAGAGGTGAGATGGTTCCTCAACTAATCTGGACCCATGCCATGCAGGGCTTTATAGGTAATAATGAACACTTTGAATTGTACCCTGTAGCAAACCAGTAGCCAGTGCAACACTCAGAACAGTGGTGTAACATGGGCCACTTTAAGCCCCTCAAGGATTGGGCACACCACTCCACTTTGCACCAGTTGAAGCTTTCAAATGCTTTTCAAAGGTAGCCCCATATAGAGCACATTGCCATAGTCTAAGCATGAGATGACTAGGGCTTGAATGACTGAGTGCTGGGACACCCAATCCAGGAAAGGCTGCAACTGATGCACAACCAAAAATTGTCTTCTAGACATGGCTAGAAGAGTCTTGAGTCCAGGAGAACCCCCAAATTGCAGACCATGTCTGTCTTGGGTAGTGCCACCCCATCCAGACCTAAAGCAAAGACCCACATCTTTAAGTCCATGTACCCAGAGTCATTTGGTCTTGCCAGGGTTCAGCCAAATCCTGTTGTTCCCCAGGCTCCCATAGTTTCCAGCACTAATATTTTTTTCCTGTTCTTCCTATTTAACACTTTTTCTTAAAACAAATAGTTTGTGAAGAAATTGGATTTTGCAAACCAATAACCAATTGTTTCAAATGGATTTAAAGATGTGGGTCTTTGCTTTAGGTCTGGATAGGGTGGCACTGCCCAAGATAGACATGGTTTGCAATTTGGGGGTTCTCCTGGATTCAATTTGGATTCAGTCTTCCTCAGATCCTGCTTTGATTCAGTCACCTTACAAATCAATCCAATTCAGTTAGGAATTCTGCCATATCTAATACATATCCTTAATTTACTTCACCACATGTTTTGATAGTTTGCTGCATGGATTCAAGCCTTGCAATGTCTAGCCATAGTAAACAAATGGTAAAAACCTAGAGTAAATCTAGTTCATCTCAGGAATCTGAAATGATCTTGTAAACAGAATGTAATTGTAAAAAAGTTATTGCTTTTTACAAAATAAGCATTAACTACTATATTGAGATTTTTAAATTCAAGAGCTGTTCTATACACATTTGGAAATATACCCCACTAAGTATTATGCAAATTACATTGAATAACATATTCAGAACTGCAGGTAGTCCTTGACTTATGACCACAATTAAGACCAAAATTTCTGTTGTAAAGGAACACAGTTGTTAAGTTGCACAAGGGCTCTTCTAGCCACAATATCACCTACTCTTTGAGCAGGAGTTTTGAGTCCAGGAGGACCCCCAAGTTGCACACTGGATCTGTCTGGGATAATGCAATTCCATACATATTTAATAATTATAAACAATTTTATGACCTTTCTTGCCATAGTTGTTAAGTGAATCACTGCAGTTGTTAAGTTAGTAACACAGATGTTAAGTGAATTTGGCTTCCCTATGACTTTGCTTGTCAGAAGGTTGCAAAAGGTGATCACATGATCCTGAGATACTGCAACCGTCATAAATGTGAGTCAGTTGTCAAACATCTGAATTTTAATTGGGGACCATAGAGATTCTGCAATGGTCGTAAAATATGAAAAACTGCCATAAGTCGCTTTTTTAATGCCACTGTAACTTTGAACAGTCACTAAAACTGTTGTAGATCAACGGCAACTTGTTCACTACTATCAGTACTACATGATTAGGAGTTTTTTATATAATTGTTTGCTCTTACTACTTGTATTATTTGTTCTGTGTACAAAGCAATTTACAAATATTAAATGACCGTGACTTCAAGGCATATTAAAGAGTTTCATTTTCCCCCTCCAGGAACCAGGGTTTCTGACTGCTTTTGAGTATAGTGAGAAGCGAAAGATGGTATTCCATATTACCACTGGAAGCCAGGAATTTGAGTTAGTAAACTGACAACCCCATACCCCTATTTTTTTCATTTCCTTCATGTTCAAGTTTTTATTGAGTTTTTATTTTTACTTTATTTAGTTTTTATTCTTTTTATTTTAATTTAGTTTCAGATGACTATCTATGCTGTCCCACTCACTCACACTGACATGTCAGTGTGGTTTATGGAGAGTTTTGTCTTCCCCCAGCAGTTCTCTTCACTCAGCTTTAGAACTGTCCCAACCAAAGCCAGCCACAAGCAAGCCCAGATTAATTCCCCAGACAATGGCCAATTATTCCACAACACAAATAGCAAGCTGCTCAAACAGTAAGTCCAATAAATGAACATAAACCCTCAGGCAAAACTTAATCCATATTAGCTTCCGGGTTATGGAAATTCAGAGTCCCAGGAAACATGAACGAGCACGTAGCCACGACCCACACACATTGCTTCCAGCAACACCTCCCTCTGCCTGCCATGCTAAATAGCTCCTGGTGCAGCCCATCAAGAGAGGCGAGGCCTCCAGTTCTCTGCCCTGCATGCTCTGACATTCACCACGGCAGGCAGCACCTCCTCCTCTTCTTCACTGATCTGCAAGCTGTCCCCAATCGAAGCCTGTTCTGCTGGCAGTTCAGGGTCAGTAATTCCTGATGTGCCAGGAATTATCTCATTCTCCCACAAGCTGGCCTATGAGGAAGTGTTGCAGGAGTTGTCCAAAGGAGACATCACACTATCTTTATTGCCTCAGCAGAACCATAATTAAGCATTTAACAGTGCCCCTGACATGTAATCTTAGCCCAGAGATTATACTTTCTATTAGGTAAAATGAAAAACTGTTAGAGAATGGGCCAAATTCTGCTTATTAAGGGGCAAATTATTTTAAAATTAATTAAATTAATATATAGCATATTCTATAAACAACTGATAATCAAAAGATTGTAATGGGGTACAAGTTTAATAAATTTAAATGATTGCTTTGGTTTATAAATAAACTTCTGAAAGAAACCCAAAAGGGAATATTTTGATTACCATATTTTTCAGAGTATAAGACGTACATTAGTTTTTGGGGAAGAAAACCTTCCTTTGCCTACCAGCATCCATCAGTATTAATCTGGCTAGCATCCTTGCAGCAAACAGTAAATAGCCTGGTCAGCTTCAGCACATTATCGCAGCCTGATTCAGCATGAGTAGCTGATTGGTGGTTGGATCGGCTTCCCAGAATACCGCCAATCAGCTGTTTCAGGCTGAGGGGATCACCACAGCCCATCGCCTCTGTGCGTTGCGTTTTTGGCCTCCGCGTGTCACATTTTCGGCCTCTACATGCTCCATTTTAGACCTGTTCCAGGCTGCCTGGATCGCCACAGCACATCGCTGCCAATCGCCGCCTCCGTGCGTCACGTTTTTGGCCTCCACATGCTCCGTTTTTGGCCTCCGTGCATCGCATTTTCAGACGGTTCCAGGCTGTGGGGATCGGCAGCAGTGGCCAAAAACAGGATGTGCAGAGGCCAAAAATGTGCGGAGGCAGCGATTGGCGGCAATGTGCTGTGGCAATCCCCGCCGCCTGGAACGGGTCTAAAATGGAGTGTGGGGAGACTGAAAATGCGATGCGCGGAGGCCGAAAACGACCGAAGGGTGGGGGCCGGTGGGTGGGCCAGGCTTTGGCAACATTCAGTGTATAAGACGCACAGACATTTCCACCCACTTTTAGGGGTGGGAAGTGCATCTTATACTCTGAAAAATACAGTAATTACTCTTCTTTATATTTCCCTCTTTTGCAGTATCATAAATCAAGTAAATAATTGATTTTACTACCATTTTGATGTTGTTAAAGTTACATTTTATTATTTTTCATTTTAAGCAATACATTATTCCTAGATAATTTAGCACTGTAGGTACTCTATCAGCTCCCATTCTGTCAGATACAAGCAACCATATCTACATGTGAACAGTCAGGTGTTTTATTTCTCAAGCCTATAAACAGCCTAATGCATCTGGGTGAGACTAGATAAGGTTCAATGGCATTCAAGGGATGTGTCAGACTTTTTTTTCTTGAGCCCATGTAGGAATTCCAGACTAGTTTCTTGTTTGTCTCCTCCCCCTGGCTTGGCCAGTCTCAGTACTATACATTCCATGATTTTAGGTTTTTTACTTCTTTCCAGTAAACTCCTAGGTGGTGGGATTGAAAGCATGGCCATCACAGAAGCCTTTGGAGGTTAGTGCACATATTGGCAAATAATTCCCTAAAGCTATAGGAATTATAAGTATATTGAACAGGCACTATATTTTCATTTGTTTGTCAATATTTAAAAGTCATAGTCTTTTTAGAACTGGAAGGAACCATACCTTTTTTTGTATTTTGGGACCTACTATATATGTAAGTAAAATATATCAGATTGTAGTATATCTAGATCAGTTTTCTTAGTGTGATACCATTCAGGTTGGGTAGAATTCCCTGAAGATATTTGGGTTGTGAATTTTCATGGTAGTCATTCCAGAGCATCTTTAGCATGCCTAACTGGGAGCTGCTTTAAACCTTTAAATCCATTATTAAAATTACTAAATGCCATCTTAATAATATGTAAATATTTTTAAAGTATTTGAAATCTGTATCACTGCATAAATGTTGTTTCTAGTTGAAGTGAATGGAATCTCAAGTAGATAGTAGGTAGGTATGCACTAGGTCGGCCACACCAGAAAAATCAACTTTACAGGACGACTAAAGTTATACTATAATGACAGAATCTTGCAATCTTCTTTCTTATACACCAGTGAATCAGGAGGACTGTCTGAATCACTTCTGAATACTATCTTCTTCCTCAGACTTCAAGAATATTTCAATCCTATCTCCATATTTCTGTCAAACTATCTCCGTCACAGAAGTGTCCCTTCTGAGTGGTTTTCATATCAATTTCATTGGATAATTGAGTGCTGCATATTATCATGATATACAATAATTTATCCTTCAATTATGTGAGAATATAATATTTTTATATAAATATATAAATCCTTATAAAAGGGAATTCATCTGAACACTGGAGCTTTTGTGCCAGTAAACTGATATGGTTTCAAAAAAGTAGTTGTGTTAGTCTTTGACAATAAAGAAACTTTGGACTAATTAGCTAATCTATCCTTCTTTCCTTCTTTCCTTCTTTACAATTTTTAATTTTTTGTTTTTATAGAATTCCGAACAGGCAAAACCCAACTTTCCCATACTCTTTGTGGTATGTATCAAGTAATAATTATATTGAAAACTGCATGTTCAATATGCAATGGTATTTAAAATCACATACATATGATATGTGAACACTCTAAATATTATACTAGCTGAAGAATTAGCTTTCTATTCTACAGTGGTGGATTGTATCTCTCACTTAGTAAGGATAATGCTAATCCTGCCTTCAGTCCCATAGCCTCTCTGACTCCCTAGTATGAAAGCAAGTTCCTAGATGCCACATTACAAAGAAATACTGTGTATTTAAAGCACTCATACTCTGAGGGGAAGAACTATAGGAATTGCCTTCTAGTCTTGCTCTGGCAGGTTTCTTAGCAATATCATCTACCAGAAGGTATTTTCCAAAATCATTACAATAGAAGTGTATTAAATGCTCAGATAAGCTTTCTTATCAGAATCTCCATGGTAGTGGAAAGAAGAGCAGTCAGGCTAAGCAGATTATATTATGTATACAGCTGGCATGTCATCAAGTCAGAATACTTGATATGTTCCATCTGACAAGGGAGACGATGAATGATCAGCAAATGAAGATGAGACTTCTTCCATTGTTTCTGACAGCATCCATTTTATGGCAGCCTCCAATTTTTTAATTTTACTATATTGTACAAGATAGGTGTGGAGGAAACATTATCTGCACCACTAGAATATTCTCAGCTTCATCCAGGGCTGCAGCAATATTTACAGTCCCTTCTGTTATGCAAATATTTATTTGTACAGAATTTAAGGCAATATACAATATACAAGGAAGAAAATACAAATATATAGCCAATAAAAAATGCAATTACAAAAGCAAACCTTATTGACTTATCCTCTTTAGCTCCCATTTCACCCTGGGAAATGCCACTTCTAAAATGATTTTAGAATAAGTTGAACTCCTTCATTTTGATCTTTACTCACCTAATTAACATAATAGTATGGAGCTTTTGATGCACAGGCCGATAGAAAAAGGGGGATTTAATGTAAAATTCATTCATTGTTTTGACAATAACCTGTTGATTTTGGATATTTGAAAATTTGTTACTATTATTATTCATTTTAGTGACAGCCCAACTTCCAGGACCAGATGGATATACAGGAGGGAAGATTATTTTCATTGACACAGAAAACACATTGTATCCTGAATATATTGTGTCGACTAAATAGAGTGAAAGGATTTCAAAGGATTGCCTATACCAGTGATGGGTAACCTTTTCCGGACTGAGTGCCCAAAGCATGTGTGCACCCAAACCCCCAAAATGCAATGCACCTGCAGCCCCGTACATGCGCCCGCCCCCCACGCATGCACATGCGGCAGTGGTGGGTTGCTCCCAGTTCAGACCGGTTCTATAGAACCAATAGTAAAACCAGCAGGAGGCTCCGCCCACTGAACCCGACATCATCAGGAAGCTTCTGTCCATGCACAGTAGTGCGCACATGAGCAAAGTAAACGCGTGTGCGGTCCCGTTGCAAACCGGTAGTAAAGTAGAACCCACCACTGACGTGAGGGCTCCTTGCACATGCGTGTGTGGGCCCCTGCATGTGTTCCCATTCATGCGCATGCCCCCTACAAGACCCCGCCCCTGCGCATACACACGTAGCCCCACATACGCCCCTCTGCATGCACACACACCCTGCATGCACCTGCCCCTGCGCATGCGCTCCAGAGACCTGAAGACCAGCTGGCTGGCAAAAGGTGTGCATGCATGCGTAGCGGAGCTGAACTGGAGTGATTGCTTGCATGCCCACAGAGAGGGCGCTGTGGGCCACCTCTGGCTCGCATGCCATAGGTTCTCCATCATGGTCCTATACAGTATTAATAATACATTTTAAATTTGAGCTTATGGTACAACATAAGCAGAAGAGACATTTAATGTGCAGAGGGGAGAAGGTGAAAGTTAATTAAACAAATTTACCATATGCAGGGGAGAGATCTTCCCATTTGCCATTCATTTGCAATGTATCTTAATGGTTACTTGGATACATGTTGTTCTTACAATTTGTAAAACACAAGCACTTTCACCATGAGGTTTGTCAGTCTGGAGCTCATGGAGAACATCTTCATGTTGTCAATTAAGCTGAATCTAAAGTTGTAAAAACAGCCTGTCAACTAATTTGCTTCCCTAAACTAGGCTGGATATTGCATGCTAGGAGCTGAGAAGTAGGATATACAGGAGAAGTCACTAAAATGGGGACAAAGTCCATAAACACAGGAGGAATTTAATAGAATGTGAATTTAATTTGTTCTTCAAGTGAGGTTAAAATACAAATAGATTTTTAGATTGTAAGTTTAGGACATTTGCATTGCATTAAGACTGGTTTGCAAGTAACATCTGCCAATCAAAAGACCATAGTTACTAAGAAAAGGGGGGAATTAGCATCTGGAAGTGCTCAGTTTTGAGGAGATATTTGTTTTTGTTAATGGGCTTCAGCTATATACCTGAGAACTGAATTAAAAATCAGATACCTTAACTAAGAAACACTCCAGTCGTCCAGACCGCCTACGTGACATTGCTGATCGCTTCAATGCAGATCATGAGGCAGTTCTTGACAACGTATTGTATGCACGGGCTTATACTAGTAAGATTGCAACAAGATGGCATAAGAATCCTGTTCATTTTCAGAATGAATAATTATGCATCATGGCAGAGGTGGGCTTCAAAATTTTTAGCAAGGGGTTCTCTGCCCGGTAGCTGGGTGGGCGTGGCTATGGTGGGCATGGCCTAGTCGGCCTCCTGGACCATGGCAGGGGGGTGTTTTGGCCCTCCCCAGCCTCCACGTGTGCCCTGCACTTACCTGCATCCAAAACGGGCTGCATGTGCTCTCCTGGGAGGGCGGGATGGGGTGAGTGGGGCCAGCCAGGAGCGGGATTTGGGGGTTCTCCAAACTGCACAGAATCTTAGCTAGAGGTTCTCTCGAACCCCTGTGAACCCCCAGCAGCCCACTCCTGCATCAAGGGATTATCATTGGAATTATGTCTATTTTTCAATTTGTGTTTCTGTTTCGAATATACTCAGGATAATTTTCACATAAGATTGAGTTATGAAGTTTCTCAAAATCTGAACATATTATCTTTTAGTTTATTTCTCCTCCCCAAAGAAATATTTATATTGCCTTCCCTTCAAACCATATCACTGCACTTTATTAATTCTGTACAGTCGGTTTGTTTATAACACACAAGAGACTGTTTTCTTAAGGAAATTCACGTAATAAGGGTTTTCTTCTTCTTTTTCTAATACAGTGTTCTGTATAAACACTCTTTTAAATTTTTAATCTGAATTTTCTAAGTTATTGTGATAAAACCACATTTCTGCAAGCTTGTTTCAATCAATCAATCAATCAATCAATCAATCAGAATAGAGCTGGAAGGGACCTTGGAGATCTTCTAGTCCAGCTCCAGTGATGAACCTCCAGTGATGAAGCACTCACAACTTCTGATGGCAAGCCGTTCCACTGGTTAATTGTCCTCAGTTAGGAAGTTTCTGTTGTGACCCAGGCCCAAGTAAGTAATAGGAAAATCAGTCAGTGGAAAAACAAACAAACTTTATTCGAACAGCTGAGAATTACTTCATTCCCAGCGTTGTTCAACTAAATTAAAGCAAATTCCTCCAGTCACAAATTCCTCAGTCCTATCGCAAACCTTGTCCAATTAGGCAAACTGCCAAAGGCCTTTCTTGGCAAACGTTCAGAAGTCACAGATACAAAAATAAATACAAGATGTAGACGAAGAAGAAGACGAAGCTACCAACGTTGTTTTTCAGCAAAGCCCAAATGCCGTTGCTGGTCTGTTTTAAGCCTTATGGGAGAGGCCAATCATTTCTTGGCCCTACTCCCAAGTTGTTCTCTTTGCTTGAGCTGCTCTTGCCTTCTGGCTTCTCAGGTGAGCATTAGGAACAGGCTCCTCCTGTTCTTCTGCCTCACTACTATCAGGCTCTGGAGGCTCTGGAGTCCGCACCTCACTCCCCAATGGCCCTGGCCCAATCTCTGCCTCTGACGCAGAGCCCTCATCCGGGCCTTCCCCAGCCTCCAGGACTGGCCCAGGTTCTACCTCAGCCTCATTGCTGTCAGACTCCGCTGCCAGCTCCACAGGCTGCTGGCGGACCACAACAGTTTCTCCTTAATTCCAGGTTGCTTCTCTCCTTGATTAATCTCCATTGTTTCTTGTCCTGACTTCTGGCGCTTTGGAAAATAAGTTGATCCTCTCCTCTTTGTGGCAACCTCTCAAATACAGGAATACTGCTATCTTAATACTGCGCTTAAGACTTTTTTATTTCATCAAGCTGGCCGGGCCTAAATCTTCTCCCCTTTTAAATATAAATTTTAAATATAAATTTTAATTTGTTTTAAATTATGGGGTATTTTAAATTCAGCCAAATTATTTAATTCGTTTTTAATCTATTTTAAATTTTTGTATTTATGTGTTTTATCTTGTGGCTGTTCACCGCCCTGAGTCCTTTGGGAGAAGGGCGGTATAGAAATTTAATAAAATAAAATAAATAAATCATGTTCCCCCCTTGTCCTTCTTTTCTCTAGACTAGCCAAACCCAAATCCTGCAACCGTTCTTCGTATGTTTTTGTCTCCAGGCCTTTAATCATTTTAGTTGCTCTTCTTTCACTTTTTCTTCAACATCTTTTTTGTAATGTGGTGACCAAATCTGGATGCAGTATTCTAGGTGTAGCCTTACTAAGGCTTAGATTAGATTTCATTAAGTAAATAAATAAGTAAATTAGGAAAGTCACATCAAATGTTTGAACATGACAGTACAGATGACTTCTATATGGAAATATTGCAGAATCTTAGGTAAAATGTATAATTAGATATATAAACATTAATGTGACCTCATCTAGAAATGAATATTAATTATCATATTTTGCAGAATTTTCAAGAGAGGATTTCAAATATTTATGAAGTATTTAACTTCTTTTGGAATTATTTTAAAGTAACATTTAAAAAATGGCAACCTAAATATACTAAAATTTAGTTATGTCAGTTGTAACAAGAACTCAACTATTATACATCTTGGTCTATCTAGCAAGTACTTCTTTTTTTCTGATTTAAAACAAATGTTATTATTATTACTATTTCCTCCTTGGAAGGTGAGCATCAAATGGAACTACTTGATTATGTTGCTGGCAAATTCCATGAGGAACCTGGCATCTTCAAATTACTGGTATATTTTTTATACTCCTGTCTATTATATGCTTCAATTCCTTTAATTAATATGTTAATCTTTTAAATTTATTCTCATGAACAAATGTCTTTTTGATATTTAATGTACAGATAATAGATTCCATTATGGCACTGTTTCGTGTGGATTTTAGTGGTCGTGGGGAATTAGCTGAAAGGCAACAGAAACTTGCTCAGATGCTCTCAAGACTTCAGAAAATATCAGAAGGTGGGATAAAGTAAAAAAAAGAAACTTTTTAGATTAAACACATGATTTTATATAAACTGTTTTCTCTTTTGAAAATCTCAGTGAGATTGAAAGACATAAGGGATAGAATCTTTTTAGTAATACTTCCTATATATTTGTACTCCACACCTTTTAATTTGGTTTTAATGATCTGGTTTAAGTTGATACTGTTTTTTTTTTAAACTAGTATTTCCCAGTCTTGGCAATTACCAGATATGTATATTTCAACTGAAAGAATTCTCAGCAATAGGGAATTTAAAGATTTGATGTCCACATATCTGAATGTTAGAAAACTTTCCATAATACTTTTTTGTCTGTTAGGGTTATTAAAACTGATCTTCATGCTTTTTCAATATTGTGGAGAGTTTTATAGGCATAGTTTATTAGAAATGATTTAACAAAAGATTGTGAAAAGAATACTAGCAGAATATTTTTTCTCTCTCATGTCTATTCCATCTTTTGGCCTAATTTTCTTACTGCAGAATATAATGTGGCTGTGTTTGTGACTAATCAAATGACCTCTGATCCTGGAGCAACTATGACGTAAGTACCCGTATATTTTGGACTATAAAACGCTCCGGACTATAAGATGCACCTAGCTTTTGGGGAAGAAAAAAACAGCAAACAGCCTGGTCAGCTTCAACACAGCCTGATTTAGCAAGAGCAGCTGATTGGTGGTTGGATCTGCCTCCCGGAATACCACTGATCAGCTGTTCCAGGCTGCGGGGATTGCCATCACCCATCAGCACCATCACTGCTCATCGCGGTTGCCACCCATTGCCACCTCTGCGTGCCCCATTTTTGGCCTCTCTGCGTCCTGTTTTTGGCCCATTCCAGGCAGCCGGGATCCACGCCGCTTGGAATCGGCCAAAAATGGGGCGCGTGGAGGCCAAAAATGGGGCGTGCAGAGGCTGAAAACAGGGTGCGCGGAGGTCAAAAATGGGGCATGTGGAGGTTGCAATGGGTGGCAGTAGCGATGGACGGTGCTGGCAATCCCCACAGCCTGGAACAGCTGATCGGTGGTATTCCGGAAGGCAGATCCAACCGCCAATCAGCTGTTTGTGCTAAATCAGGCTGTGCTGAAGCTGACCGGGCTGTTTGCTGTTTGCTGCAAGGAGGCAAATTGCTGGGAGGCAGAGGCTGAATGGGGGCTGGTGGGTGGGCGGGGCTTTGGCAACATTAGCTCTATAAGATGCACAGAAATTTCCACCCACTTTTTTCGGGGGGAAAAGTGTCTTATAGTCCGAAAAATATGATAAATTACTGATGTTGTTCTTAAGTCACAGAAATAGGATTTCTTAAATGATATTTTTAAATCACAGAAAAAGGTACTCTAGAGACCTAAAGAAGATTCAGTTTTATTTTGAACCATACTAATAAGGGATTCTATGGAAATAGTTCACCTGAATGTCAGTTCAGATAGGAAAATGAATGAAAGTCCAAGCTAGATATGTAGTTTAAATGAGTCTTTATATTTAAAATGTGTATGTTAAAAAAGCATCTGGGAAAATGAGGTGAAAGTTACTGAGCAAAACTGAGCACAATGCAACTACTTCTTGTGTTGTCTCATCTGGAGAAAAGTCCTGCTCTTGAAATTACTTTTTGCTTTTAGAGTGGAGTTATAGGATCCTCAGATTGGACTAATTCATATTCTCCTTCAATGATCCTGAGAGGGACTGAGACACATACAGTATCTTGTTTTCCCATTGCAGATTATACAGAGCAAGTTTGCTACTAGAGCTTACTTACAAATGATGTGCTCCTTGCTCCCTTCATAAAGATAGTAGTTGATGGGTAAATTAACAATGGTTTTATAAATAGGAAAGAATGTTGAGTCAAGAATTCATTTCTTTTTGTCAAGCATTAGCTCTGTTGTATGCATTCTCATTTGTATTCAGATTGTGCTATAAACTGAGGAATGATTGGTTATTATTTTTAAATTTAGGTTTATGCCCCTTTTTGTCCAACATTAATAAAGCCAATGATCAGTAATATGTGGAGGGGGGGAAAGAGTGAAAAACTGAGTACTTGGTATAGTGGTTAAAACCATCAAACTGCAGGAACTTGTGCAGAAGTCACACTTACCTGAAGGCATACAAACACACAATTAAAAGAATGTTATTTTGTTAATATTGATGTTTCTCATAGCAAACTACAGTATATATCAATATTATTTCAAGATATTCAGTAATTTAGGGCCATATTTCCCACTTTGGATATAACAGCTCTGTCTTTATTTGATGTAGCTTTCAGGCTGACCCCAAGAAACCCATTGGAGGACATATCCTTGCTCATGCTTCTACAACAAGGATTAGTTTGCGGAAGGGAAGAGGAGAATTACGTATTGCCAAGATATATGATAGGTAATATAGAAATGAACTGATACAGTACACTATACTTCAACATACTCTATGTGATCATTGTGTCTCATTTGGATTTTAGTTTTTAAACAAATATGTAAAAATTAAGAAATATGACTAAATTACTTTAATATACTGTCAGTTGTGACAGTACATTATAGTATACATTACAGTATAGAATAGAATACGTAGTTTAGAATAATATTTGGCCAAGTATGATTAGACACACACAAAATTTGTCTCCAGTGCAAAAGCTCTCAGGGTCTATGCAAAACAACAGAATAGTCATAATGATACCAAGAAGAAAATTATCCTTTTATACTTGACACTATCACTTCCTGTTTTATGACACACACGTCTTTGTAACCCAATTCTATCAACTCTAACTTCTATATTAATAGCATGCTTCTGTCCAATGTGTAATATAGAAGTTAGAGTTGACGATGTCAGAAGAAACATAAACATTTAATGCCATAGAATTGGGTTACAAAGAAGTGTATGTCATAAAACAAAAAGTGATAGTGTCAAGTCATGGATTTATCTATGTCTATGGATATTCTCAGTTATCCAGGTCATGGTTGTCCCAAAGGTGCTTTTTTTCTGAAGAGCTGAAGAAGCTTCTTGGATGAGAAGTGAAACGTCTTCAAAGAAAAACTAGAAAGTCCAGTTGTCTCTTGAAAAAGTGCCTTTGGGACAAACACATGGATTGTTAAGCGGACAGATCAAAGCAGCTGTCTTTTGAGGCAGGGTAGACAGTTCCCCTCCATGTGCAGAATGAAATTTTAGTGGCTGGCTGGAGAAAGAAGTTCAGATCACAAAGATCTGAGCTTCTTTTTCCAGCCCACTGCAAGAGTTGCCCTGACCTCCATGTACAGATAGGAACTGTCATTTCTCCAGCCCATCATAGGACTCCCCCCCCCCCATCAGTCTCACATGTGAAGGGGAGAGAAGATCTTCCAGTAGGTGGTAACAATTTGCAACTTTTCCTGCCAGCTTCTTCATCAGCTTTCTGCAGAAGCCAGCAGAGAATTGTCTGAAATACAGTCATATGGTAATTGGTGGCATGGCAGCTGTTGTAACTTTGAGGACAGATCATAAATATTCTTTAAAAATCTGTCATAACTTCAAACAGTTATTAAATGATATGTTATAAATCAAGGATTATCTGTAACAGGATATTTACTGTTGGACAGCCTTACTTGGTCTGCTGTGTGGATGCTTGGATGGTTTAGGGGTGGGGAATTTTTGGTGGGTGGGGATGTGTCTGGAGATTGTCATGTGTGTTGGGCTTGGTCTCTGGATGTTATGTGAAATTCATTGTATGGGTATACTGTGTATATACGTACAATGACAATATACTTTATATAAAATATCCAAAATGACTTGTGTATAACAATTGCTTCTACAATGAGAAAAGCTAAATGAAAATTACATTATTTTTTAAGGTAAGTAACAGCAACTATAATGTATTCTTCTTCTTCTTGTGCCATATCCGTCATCGGACATTAGCGACCATGTTGGCAATCCTATTTTTGTCAACCGCCGCATGAAAAAGTGCTGGTGAGTTTTGTCCAAACCAGTCCCTTAGGTTTTGAAGCCATGGTGTTCTTCTTCTGCCTGGACCTCGTTTGCCTTCAATTTTTCATTGGAGGATTAAGTGAAGAATACCGTATTTTTCTGGGTGTCACATCACATGTCCAAAACATTCTAACTTTCGCTTTTTAATGGCTTTGATGCCATCCTGAGGATGTGGACAGGGTACTGGATAAGATTAGTGCCGCCACGTGTTTATTGGACCCGTGTCCCTCCTGGTTGGTACTGGCCTCCCGGGAGGTTACATGAGGCTGGCTCCAGGGAATTATAAGTGCGTCTCTGAGTGAGGGTGCCTTTCCTGCTGCCTTGAAAGAGGCGGTAGTGAGGCCCCTCCTCAAGAAGCCCTCCCTGGACCCGGCTGAATTAGCCAACTACCGTCCGGTCTCCAACCTTCGTTTTGTGGTGAAGGTTGTTGAGAGCGTGGTGGCACGACAGCTTCCCCGGCACCTGAATGAAGCTATCTATCTGGACCTGTACCAGTCGGGCTTCAGGCAGGGATACAGCACAGAAACGGCATTGGTCGCGTTGGTGGATGATCTCTGGAGGGCTCGGAACAGGGGTTGCTCCTCTGTCCTAGTCCTATTAGATCTCTCAGCGGCTTTTGATACCATTGACCATGGTATCATGCTGCAGTGGTTGAGGGGGTTAGGAATAGGGGGCACCGTTCTGCAGTGGTTCTCCTCCTTCCTCTCCGACCGCTCGCAGTTTGTTGGCAGGGGGGCAGAGGTCGACCTCGAGGCGCCTCGCATGGGGAGTGCCGCAAGGGTCAGTCCTCTCGCCCCTTCTGTTCAACATTTATATGAAGCCGCTGGGTGAGATCATCCGTGGTTTTGGGGTGAAGTGTCATCTGTACGCTGATGATACTCAGCTATACATCTCCACCCCAGACCACGCCAACGATGCCCTTGATATGATGTCTCTCTGTCTGGAGGCCGTGCAGGTCTGGATGGGGAGGAACAGGCTCAGACTCAACCCCTCCAAGACCGAGTGGCTGTGGCTTCCGGCGTCCCGATATAGTCAGCAGGTGCCATCGCTGACTATTGGGGGTGAATCTTTGCCCCCCACAGAAAGGGCTCGCAGTCTGGGTGTCCTCCTGGACGCACGGCTGTCTTTAGAAGAGCATATGACAGCCGTGGCCAGGGGAGCCTTTTATCAGGTTCGCCTGATTCGCCAGTTGCAGCCCTTTCTGGACTGGGACGCCTTGTGCACGGTCACTCATGCTCTTGTCACCTCCTGGCTGGACTATTGTAATGCTCTCTACATGGGGCTCCCCTTGAAGAGCACTCGGAGGCTCCAACTGGTCCAGAATGCGGCCATGCGGGTGGTTATGCACGTGACACTCCTTCTGCGTGCGCTGCACTGGCTCCCAGTGGTCTTCCGGGTGCGATTCAAGATGTTGGTTACCACCTTTAAAGCGCTCCATGGCATAGGACCCGGGTACCTTCGAGACCGACTTCTGCCATCAATAGCCTCCCACTGGCCGGTTCGCTCCCACAGAGAGGGTCTCCTCAGGGTGCCATCGGCCAAGTTATGTCGGCTGGCGACACCCAGGGGGAGGGCCTTCTCTGTGGGAGCCCCAGCCCTGTGGAATGAACTGCCCCCAGAAATGCGTAAGATCTCCGACCTCCGGGTATTTCGCTGTGCACTCAAGACCCTGTTGTTCCGCCAGGCCGGGCTATCAACATAATAATTTTAAATTGGGTGTTTTAAATTTCTGGGGTTTTAAATTGAGCTGAATTATTTAATAATTTTAAATTATTTTAATTGATGTTTGTCTTGTGCTTTTAATAGGATGAGTCCTTCAGGAGAAGGGCAGTATAGAAATAAAATTATTATTATTATTATTATTTATTGGTTAATCTTTAGTGAGATTCACAGCCTTTGAGGCTGGTTAATAGCTCAGCAGCTCGAGTCCTAACCAAGGACCTAGGAACTGTTAAGGTATCGTCGGAGGATGTAAGCTGTTCCGAGTAAGGTGGTTTTTTGTAGAGTCAAAATGTTCAAGTCCGGCAAATTTAGAATTTCTAAATAGCGGGGTAGCCCTTTGGGTATTGCTCCGAGGGCTCCAATTACAATCGGGACAACACACGATTTCTTTTTCCACAGTCGCTCAACTTCAATTTGTAAGTCCCGGTACTTTGTGATTTTTTCTTGCTGCTTATCTTCAATTCGTGCATCACCAGGTATTGCAATGTCAATGAACCATACTTTTTTCTTTTCAACCATTGTTATGTCAGGTGTGTTGTGGACCAAGTGCCTGTCAGTCTGAATCCTAAAGTCCCACAAGATCTTGAGTTTCTCATTCTCTAAAACTTTCTCAACCTGATGTTCCCAGTGGTTTTTGCTGTACTCAAATCCAAACTTCTGGCACAATTTCCAGTGAATGATCTTAGCAACATGATCATGGCGTTGTAGGTAGTCAGTTTGTGAAATTTTGCTGCACCCACTGATCAGGTGGTCAACTGTCTCTTCTTTTTCATTGCAGAGACGGCATTTGCTGTTGGTGGTAACATGTTGAATTTTTGCCTTCATACAGTTTGTGGCTAGGGCTTGTTCTTGAGCTGCCAAAATAAAGCTTTCAGTTTCTTTTTTCAGTACTCCTGATCTTAACCAGTTCCAATATTATTATTATTATTATTATTATTATTATTATTATTATTATTATTATTCCTTTGCTTTCCCAGGCGGCTTATCATCTCCTCATTTGTGATTTTGTTAACCCAGTTTATACGTAACAGTCGTCTGTAAATCCACATTTCAAATGCTTCTAGTTTCTTCAAGTGGTTTTCTGTCAGAGACCAACTCTCTACTCCGTATAATGTATAGGTTTATAAAATCTGGGCTGCAAAAATCCCACCACTATATAGGGACAAAATGATATATGACAAACAGTAACTTTTTGCCCCATCTAGTGTTCTTCTGGATTTCTGCAGCCAATTCTATCATGCATAGTATCTCTCAGTTTATTTACACAATTCCAAAAGGAAAGTAAAAGAATTAATTTTTATTTCTTTTTTCAGTCCTGAAATGCCTGAAAATGAAGCCACATTTGCAATAACTGCTGGAGGAATAGGAGATGCCAAAGAGTAGGCTGATCTTAGTGATAAACAACTGAGAAACTCCCATCAAATTATATCAAAAGTTACTTAGTTCTTAGTTACTTATGTTTATTATTCCAAATTTAGAAAAGTTAAAATTGAGAGGCAGCAATATGATTGCTGTAAATGTTCTTATCTTTTGATATTGCTGAGCATATCTACATTGTTCATAGGACAAGTCAATCATGTGTAATTATCCTTTTCATAACAGCACTAATTTTGTGCAGGGCATTTCTACTAGGACTTAGAGTACCAATGCACTACAGTTTCAAACATCTGAAAAAAGTCTAGAGACATAAGTATTAAGAATCACATTTTTTAAAATTTAAAACAACTCAAAATGCTTTACGGATCCTTGAATACTTTAAGGACTTTTAGTGTATTAATTTTAGCTTTAACATATAGAATTATCATAACAGAAAGTAATTGATCATTTAAAAAAAATGTCAACTCAAATTTTTAGGTAAAATAGGCTGGAATTAAAATTGGAAATTGGTTTTACTCAAAGAATATTGTTTGCAAAGTTTAAATATTTGCTTAAATGTAATTAAAATACCTGTACATGTACCTCATGTAAAATCAAACAATTGCCTCTCTTTTTTTTCTTTGAAAGCAAATTATACTGTCTATTCCATCTATGGATGTGTAATAAGCCTCACAAATCTAAGTAAATATTTTATGGCATATTCTTTTCCTGTTCCCTGTTAAAGAAATATTCATAAGTCTATGTGTTTTTCTTGAATACTGTCACTCAGCGAAAACAACACTGAGCATTCTGAACATAACTGGGAGTGCTGGAAGTGCATGACCCTCCAGAATAGATTATTTCTCTTTTTATATTCTAACGCAGCAGTCAGAAGTTGAAAGCATCCATTTCCCATTTGTGAATTAGTTGCAGTAGACATTATGATTTTTAAGCGATGATTATTGGACCAATATAGAACCCCCAGGCCAGGGGTGAAATTCACTTACCTTCCCTACCCGTTCACCAATGTACGTGCACCGCTCACGCGCTCGCTTTGCTCACCTGCACTGCCTGCAAATGCGCAAAGCCTTCTGCGCATGTACAGAGGCTTAAAATGTCACAAAAAAGTGTCATCATGACATCCGCGCAGGTGGGCGGAGCCTCCTGCAAACACCGCTACCAGTTTGCCCGATCTGGATAGAACTGGCTGGATTTCACCCCTGCTCCAGACCATTATTAGTTAAGTTCTGACATGAAACAACCAAATTTTTATGGCATCAGTAGATTATCTAGTGCCTGTCAAACGTTTTGGACCATAACAGTCACTGTCTTGGCATGGCCATACTGGCTGGACCAATGGGCAGCTCCACATTCTGAGAGGGTACCAGTTTTCCTCCCCATCCCCAACCTCTTTTCACAGAGCATGCGTGAAAAATCACCCTTCTGCTTGAAAAATTATCCTGCTTATGTACTACCGTGTAGTTGATAGGAAAGTCCATAGAAAGTGTGTAGCTACTATGGCATTCTGTAGCATTCCTATCTCACACCCCATTGTTAAGAAAAAGGATTCCAGGAAGATAAAGCCAGCATAAACTGCAGAAGATTAGAGTGTCAGCTCTGGGCATGGGAAATGAAAGGACTTCTGGAACAGGAGGTTAGACCTTCCAGGGCTCAGTCTTATAGTAGAATGGCAATCACAACCAATCTTTGTATTGTTCTAAATCTAAAGTAATAGCTTTCAGCTAGGAAAGTAAGCTGAACTGTAAGAAACAATTGTTTCTGTATTTTGAAACGAAAGGGAGTTAGTTATTGGAGAACCAATTCTACCAATTATAGATATTGGAACTATATGTCTTATAAACCTCATGCCTTTTTCGTTCAATACAGCTGATAAGTATGATTTCTAAACTCCGCATATTGCAGAGTACACATAACTCGCCAGTTTCTACGCAAAACGGGAAGCTAGTTTTTCCACTCAAAATGTGGCGCTGAACTAAGCAACGGAAACGTTATGGACTTCCGTATTTCATTGCTTTTAAGTTTGCTAGCACTAAAACTTGGCGTACATGTGTTTCGAGAATACATTAAAAATTGGCTCTTCACGTAGAGTTCTTAAATCGCTTACTAGCGAAATCTTCTTAAATCGCTCCTATGAAGCGTGATCAGCGTACGCGATCACTGCTGGAGAATAAGCGTAGAGAAAGGCTTTCTCTTTCCTCGGTGATTCAAGAGACGTAACTTACGCAACAACCGGGCTGGCCGATAGCGTAAGAGGCGGCAAATCGGGGTGACGGCGGCCATTTTGTGTCTGGAGGCCGGAGAAGAAAGGCTGGTTTCCTTTTTAACCAGCGCCAAGCAGTTCCTGACGCGACTCGGCTCTCAGAGGCTCCAGAAAACCAATTCCAACGGCTGTCTAGCTAGGAAAATTAAGTCCCGGGAGTTGTTTTTATAGCCACAAAGCAGCAGTAAAGTTCAGAGTAGGCGCGGTTGGGCCTCTCAGCGCTACCCTTCACATAGTCGCGCACAGGGGTCCCTTTTCCTGCTTGGGAGAATGCGAGGCTTCGGTGACCGAGGCCGCGATCGTGACCGCGGCGGGTAAGGACGATGTGAACGAGGGAATCGGGCTTCTTTCAAGGGTTTTGTCGTACCTCTGCCCTTCCTTCCCCTCCCCTCGCCCCTTGAGCGTTCCTTCTGCTGCGTGGCAGGCAGAAATACTTCGGATACAACCAGCGTTGCCTGAGGGCAGATCGTGCTAAATTTCTGCCTTTCTCGTAGTTATTAAAAGCGTTGAAGGATACCGAGGAGAGGGGTGGGGTTCTGCCATTTTGTAGAAATGTAGAAACGGTCGAAGTTGGGAGCAAGTTCCTCGGAACTCCTTAATTAATCAGCACAATACTAGGCTGTGCGGAGAGAGCAGATGTAATGGATGAAGGCTGCCAGTTTGTAAGGCTTGGGCTTCTATGTCGTGAGGAAAAGAGCCCTTTAACAACGGGACCTTTTCTCATAAGGAAAGAAAAAGGGCTCACTCTCCGGGCTTTTCTTTCTCCCTCCCCGTATTTCTAAGGAAGCTTTGCCAGAAAATTTTATGCGGGTGGCTGAAAGATGGCGTCACAATATGGAGGTGAACATTTGACTGGGAGGTGCCAGATGAATGTCGGCCTAGGAGGAGACGGAGATGGGAGAAGTGCTGGGCTTCGGAAGGACTAGGCACCCCGCGGACCGATTTTTCCGTTTTCTTTCCTTTGAACAGAGGGCTTCCCTGCCGTTACTATATACTAGTTGACTCACCAGGACTCTAACCCTCAAAGGCTATATAGTCACTTATCTACTTATCTTCTGATCCAGCATACCCTGTTTTTCTTTATCTCCTGGTGAAGAGGACTAATACAATAATTACTAACTGCCGAAATTCGAGTGGCTGCGTTGGAAAAATCTAAAAATAAGAAATATTTTAATCTGATTTTTTTTGCTTCTGTCTATATTCTTGTCAAGTTTGTAAGGATGGTGTTACACTGCCTACTCAGAAAATTTATCTGCTGCTCTAGTCGAAGAGTGGGAGCTTACAAAATCATAAAAATGCAATACAATGGTTATAATCAAAATCTGCACTCATTCAAATCAAAAGCCAGATGGAAAAATCAGCACCCTTCCCAACATTGTGGCATCCTAAGCTTGGAACTCTTGGCTGGAAAACTCCATTTTTACAACCCCCTTAAAAGTGCATTCTCACTGTATTTTACCTCAAGATACCTATCAATTGTGATAAAATAAGTTAAGCTTCCAAGTAAAAATTTTTTGGATTGGTATTTAATTAGGAGGAAGTTACGAATCACTGATATTTTACTGGGCAGTCCCAGGGATTAATTCCATATAATATGAGAAGCTACATTAATTATTTTTAGAGATGTTTATTGTAGCAGGTGATTCTGAGGGAGCTGTAGTACCATTATTGCAGTTTTGTCCAATTTTAACAAAAATCTTTAAAATATGGGATGTTTATTGATAATAGTGTGACTGATAAAGTTAATCTCATACTGAATGGACGTGCTCTACTAAAGCAATCCTAATTATATTTATGCAGAAATCATTAGTTGTATACATTAGTGCTTGCACAAGAAGGTGTGCTTTCACTTTAACTCACAAGAGGAGTCAAACTGCTTATTAATTATTACATGGTGTAATCTATTCTTAAGATAAAGAGAATAATTGTTAGCACCTTAATCGTCAAGGTCAAATTAGTTGAGAACAAATCTCTCCGGTCTTCATAGGAAGAACCGGAAAATCCCGATACTTTCCTGAAGTACAGAAGGTGTGTGAGCACTACAATGTAATTTTTGAGAAGTATGTTACTACTGTATTTTACAAATACAAGTTTAACTATGTGCATTAATATATACTTCTCACTGTATTTAGCAATATATGGGAACAAACCTCAGTGTCAGTCTTCCTGGATAAACCAGACAGGAAACACAACTAGATGAGCTAAATCTATCTTAAGGCTACATTAACAGAATCTTATTTCTTTCTTTCTTTCTTTCTTTCTTTCTTTCTTTCTTTCTTTCTTTCTTTCTTTCTTTCTTTCTTTCTTTCTTTCTTTCTTTCTTTCTTTCTCAGGGCGGTGAACAGCCAAGATAAAATACAGATAATACAAATATTAAAAATCCCTTAAAATTATTAAATATTTTGGCCGAAACACAGATTAAAACATCCAATTTATAAAATCACGAATTAAAAATTTAAAAGAGGTGAGTTAGGCAATCTTGTGAATCTTGCAAGTCTGAAAGTACAAAACTTCCCTGCTGTCACTTTAACTGCTTGATTTATTAATGGCAGATCCTTTCTAAGTTTCTCTTTTGACTGTTAAACCACTGGGAATTCCTGCCTTTCTTGTCTGATTGTTTCCTAGGCAGCATCTCTTCCCCCTTTCCCTAAGGTCATTTCCACATTCCAATGTGCTTATTGAAGATAGTGGATTTTGTATTGGTTAAAATGCTTGGTTTCCTGCACTTAGTTTCCACTTGGCTTTATTGATATTAGTGTTGCAATTAACACTATTCTGATCTATTTTTTCAGTAATTTGTTACTCTTAAAGTTGAAAGAATATTGATTAAAGAGTTACATTTTTCTTCTATATTTTTATGTAAAACTTGCCCAGTTTTGCCATTTCCATTGGAGAATATTATGGAACTACATATACATAATACATTTCTACATATTTTCATGTTCAAATATGTTTATTTTATTGCCAAAGATAAAGTACAAAACAGATAAAAGCAAAAAATAAAAATAAACAGATTAACAAATGTCCAACACCAACAACTTAAAAGAGAAAACTTTTGTGTACAAAAAAAGAAAAAAAAAGCCCAAATACTGAATACATCTAACATTAAACATTAAAAAAAAAATCAACCTCAGCTGAGTGTTGAAAGATACCTCAAAAATGTAATATATTTCTTACCCGTACATAGCTGGTCTACAAAATAGTCATAAATTTTCCCATCTATTTAACAGAAATGCTATATTATATAAATATCCCCGATGTGGAAAAAAAACTCTGTCATAATTAAATGGAGCCAATATATGTACATATACACAAACACATAAAAACAGAACAAAACAAAAACCAAAGGTAAAACTAATTTTCAAATCCCTTTGATAACCATCTGTCATTGTATTTAACATGTAGAAAATCCATAAATGGCTTCCAGTCTCTCATAAACTTGTTTAATCCATTGTTTTAATATTACTTTCCAAAATACCTTGTGATACTTTTTGTTTGTTTACTGTATATAAATTTTATTGAATCCAGACATGGTCATGCATATCCAATGAAATGAATATCATTTTTCACCCATGAGTGATTTTTCCCATTCCTTTCAGAGGGTCTAAATTAAGAATGGCTTAATTCAGATCTGGCATATTATTTAGAATAAACATTTATTACCATTGCTATTGATGTTTTTCAACATAAATTTAATAATACGTTTAATCTTCATAAAATAATGCTATTTCAGGTTAAATCAACTAGAGAAAATAAAAAAAGTAATAATTTCTGTCTAATTAAGGTTTGGTAGCCCTCTACCTCCTAAAAAGTTTGGAAATCCAGGGGAGCGTTTGCGGAAGAAGAAGTGGGACTTGAATGAACTACCCAAGTTTGAGAAAAACTTTTATGTTGAACATCCGGAAGTAGCAAGACTCACTCCTGTAAGTTCTTTGTCTTTCACCTTTGTCTTGTTAAACTACTCCAGTTTTAATATCTCTCCAAATGCTGTAGCAATGAAAATGGTTAGAATTTCTACCATTATTGTAATGAGATTTTCTATTTTTTATTTTGTCAACGTAGTTCTAATCTGGGATTGTAAAGGATGCAAAAATTTGGATGCCACTAGGTGGCAGAAAAGAAATGCTGCAAATAAAATTTTTGCAGCCCAGATCTACAGTCCTATTCTGATCCATCTTTTTTGTATTATTTTTTTAATACATTCCGTTTGCGGGTGTGGAGTGATTTTGTTCAACTGAATCTCGAACTGCCTTCCTTTTTTTCTAGCTGCTATTTCCTAACTTGCAGGATAGTTTCTTTGTTTTGGCCAAAGGAGAAGTATTCCAAGTTCAAAATACATGGGCGTAGTTGGGAAAAGGCCATTTTGAGTTGGGCCATTTACATTAAATTTGGATTGGTTTCTTCCATTTCAGAAAGTTTACCCAATTGTATAAATCAAAATATTTCTAATCAGATGCATCATCTTCAGTGAATGCAACTGCAGAGAAAACAATTTGCTCTACTAATTTAATACAGGTCAAAACATTTGTACAATTAAACATGTTTATTTGTTGATTAATATGTTTGATTGGTTTATTACTTTGGAAATCAGTAGTTCATTTTTCATGTTAAAAAGTATATTAAATATACCTAGTTTGTTAAAGTTTTTGCTGTAGACTTTGGATGGCAAATTTGAAAGAAAACAGAATAATGTCTATGGAGATTCTCAGTCATCCAGGTCATGGTTGCCCCAAAAGTGCTTTTTCAAGAGGCAGTTGGACTTTCTGGTTTTTCTTTGAAGACATTTCGCTTCTCATGAGGTGAAGAAGCTTCTTGGATGAGAAACAAACCATTTTAAAAGAAAAACCAGAAAGTCCAGTTGCCTCTTGAAAAAGCAGTTTTGGAAAAGCAGAGTAATGTGTGTATGTGTTCATCTGCATATACAAGGTTATATTGTTAAAAGTTACAATGAGTAAATGCATGAAATTGAGAAGGTTTTGAATATTTTAATTTATTTTTTTATTCCAATCTGTATTTCATTGTACATTTTGATAAGTTTCTGAAAATGAAGTCAATAACAGAAGAGTAATAGTTCTGTGTCAAAAGAATTGCTAGACCAAGACTTTAGATTATTTATGGAGAATACAAAGAGATGGTGATTACTTGAAGTAAAAGGAATGAAAATTCATATTCAGTGATTGATAATATAAAGTACAATACTACAATTTCTGTTTTTCACACTTTTCTTGCAATTTTCACTCTAAATAGTATGAAGTTGAAGAGTTGAGAAGAAAGAAAGAGATTACTGTAAGAGGGTCAGATGGTTGCCCCAAGCCAGTATTTGCCTTTCATCAGTGTAACTTTCCACGTGAGTATTCTGTTGTGCCCAAAACAGCAGTGTTGGAGGATGGATGGATGGGCATGTTAAATAGCATTATCTGGCTGGATGTATTTCGTTCTGGAAAATTGAGCTTAATGACACACAGTTTTGGGGAAATAGTTTTTGAAATTAATGCTATAATCTAAATTTATTTCAATACAAGCTTTTCTTACATAGCACTTGCAGTATAAATACCATGCTGTTCATTTATGTATTTTTATCTGCTAATTTTTAGAATATGTAATGGATGTCTTGATGGACCAACATTTTACTGAACCAACTCCAATTCAGTGTCAGGGCTTTCCTTTGGCCCTTAGTGGGCGTGATATGGTGGGCATTGCACAGACTGGCTCTGGGAAAACATTGGCAGTATGTATTTTTCAGTTTCTTTAAATTTTCTTTTGTCTGTGGCTCTGTAAAAGTATATTGTGTTTTGTTCGGGTAATGTAATTCATGAACAAAATGAAAAATATAATTTCTTTAAGTTTGGAACAAGTCATCTTGGGGTTCCAGTTCTTACGCTTCTAGGAAGCAATGGAAATTTGTGGTCAGTTGTTGGCTCTGTTTGCATCCCAGGGCTGCATCACTAGGTGGGGTGATAGTTAGTGCTACCTACCCACTACTAGCCAGCCAGTTTTCAGAACTTTGCCAAGAGGGTGATTTCTAAAAATATTTGTAAAAAGTCTTTACAGGTAAGCATTGGGATAGGAAAAATACATTAATCTTCTAGAAAAGCTGACATGTTGATTGTTTTTCAAATGAATCCCTTGGGGCATCAGCAAACAAGATAAGAGAGAATGAGATAGCTAGCCTCACTCATCAAGTACAGCCTACACAGTGGTGGGTTGCTACCGGTTCGCCCTGGATTGGGTGAACCGGTAGCGGCCATGGTGGGAGGCTCTGCTCACCACCAGACGCTTCTGCGCATGCTAGACTGAAAAGTTGTTCAGTGCAAGAGTACAATAAATCATCATCAATCCCAAAGGGAATCAAGGCTTAATATGAAATTAATTTGCATTCATTTATCTAGATTTTTATATTATCGTAATTTTTTTATTAAAAATAGGTTATGTCTGCAAATAAAGCAAATATGAAGGCTTGCGTTTGTGTATTCATATATATCATAAAATTTATTTACAGACATTTTAAGTAGTAAATCACTTTTAGATCATTGAAACATACATGGGAGAAGCTAAAGTCTTGGGAATGTTGTGGATATGGAAAGTATCGCATACATTTCTAGTGACTGAGAGAGCACTCATTCATTTCTCATGAATACAAGATCTTTTGGTGTACGATGATAGTACCATAGTGGATGAATTGAAAAACATGGTACCATAAGGAGAATATTTACGTGGCTTGTGGCATTTATCATAATTGCTACACTATTAGCCATAGCAGCAGCTCAAACCACATCAATCCTTTTAGTTTGTTTTTATTTCTTTGGGCTGAAGTATCAGATACCATCTCCCTGAATGTACAGGTAATGCTCACTTAATGACAATTCAAAGTCAAGACAATGTTAGAAAGGGTGCTTTATGGCGTATAAAGCACTTTTGTCCATCACGAAATGTCACCACCATCCCCACCACCTGCAATCACATGATCATGATGGGTGCTTTGGTAGTTTGTTTGCATCGGTTGCCAATGTTCTGTGATCAAATGATGGACATTTGCAACCTTCTTTGTAAGCCTCCCCAGAAGATCAGTGGAGAAGCCGGCAGGGAACATTGCAAGCTAAGGCTGCTGCCTGCTTGAGGATTCCCCCTTGTGTCTGAGGACTGGCTGAAATTGCTCCTTGTTGATTAGTACCTGCTTGGATCTCCGGATCTGAAATCCAAGCAAGCATGGAGCTTGGGAGTCCTCCTCCTTGCCCCTGCAGAGAGTTCCAGTGAAACAAGAATATGGGGATTTGCATGTTTGGATTTCAGCAGCCAAGCTCCAGGCAGGCTTTGAGATCTGTGGTGTGTTTCTTTTCATCCCCCTCAAAAGTTTTCTGCAGAGGTCAGGAAAGACCCCAAACTCTTGAACCTCTACAGCCAAACTTCAAGCATGCACAAAATCCCAAATACTTCTCTCTGCCTCCATGGATAGCCCCACAGAAGCAGGGGGAAAGGATTTTAAAATCTGCATCTACTATAAGCACTAAACTCAAAAATCCCCAATCTGCAGTTCCATAGTCATGAAAAGGAATTCCATTTGCTGAATGACCCATGAGATCACTTTATGGCCGCAGTGGGGACTGCTGGGATCGCCGTCATTGAGTGAAGTGGTCACGGTGTCTTGCTTAACTTCTGCTTCACTCAGCAACCAAGACTTTAATCCCAATTGTAGTCATTAAGTGATTATTTCTAATAAATAAATACATAAATTTATATGATCACGTATAACCAGTGCAGCTTCTTCGGGAACAAGGAGCATAAAAATTATCCCATCGGGACACTAGTGCATTATTATTATTATTATTCCTATCTATCCTGTTTTTAGTATATCCCTCTGAGACTTAAACTGGAAGAAGCTATAAGCTGAATTTTTAATTGAAATTGTATGCTTACTTATTGCCATGCTTAACCCAGATCTTTCTTGTTTAATTTTATGTTTAACTTCTAATGTCTTCTTGCTGTTTTCTTGAGAATATAAGAATGGATGTACAATGATTTAAAACAACTAATTAGCTATCATCTGAATTAGCTGTAACAACTGAAATACGGTTCTCTTTTTTTTCAGTATTTGCTACCTGCAATTGTTCATATAAACCACCAACCATACTTGGAAAGGGGAGATGGTCCAATTGTGAGTATTATTATTATTATTTAAAATTTAATCTTCAATTCACAATTTGGGGCTCATAAAAATTTAATAGTTCAAGTCCTAACCAAGGATTAAAGAGCTGTTAAGGTAATGACTGAGTATAGATGTTATTGGCAGTTCTGAGTAGAGGAGTTGTTCTTATTGATCTGTGTGTTTACAGGCTGCAGTTATGTGTCTTATTTATCTAATTGGAGATGGCAGTTTTCTAAGTTCTGCTTCTGAAGTTTAAGCACAAAAAATTAAGTATATCACTCAGTGTTATGGATGGTTTCTTCCCAGTGTTTAGTTTTAGCTCCTACTCGAGAACTGGCCCAACAAGTCCAACAAGTAGCTGATGATTATGGTAAATGTTCAAGACTGAAGAGTACCTGTATATATGGAGGAGCACCCAAAGGCCCCCAGATTAGAGATTTAGAAAGAGGTAAGTATGATGGATTTATATATATCTAACTTAACTATATGTAACTTCCTTTATTAAAACCACTATTAATATGACTAATGGCAATTTTGCATTGGAATAAGATGGAATAAATTAATAAACAAGCTTGGGATGATTAATCAGTTATCGGGTGTTTAATGTGGTTGCTTGGGAATAACTGCGCATATGTATGCACAAAACACATGCATGTCCAACTCTAGCGAATCTTTTTTTTAAAAACTACCATTTTTTTAAAAAAAGGAGCCAGGACATGGAAAATGGTATTTTATTTTCATTAAATAAATTGTTTTTGTGCAAACATAAAAATTATTATAGTCTGTTTAGTAGTATAAACTGAAGTTGCACAATATGTTCATGAAATAGTCCATGTATTTCTATAGTCCTGTAAATGACAGATTATTGTCTGACTTTTTGAACTATCTTTATTCTGTTCTGTTCTGTTCTTTGGAAGGTGTTGAAATTTGTATTGCTACACCTGGCCGTCTGATTGATTTCCTGGAAGCAGGGAAAACTAATCTTCGCCGCTGTACATATCTTGTATTGGATGAAGCTGATAGAATGCTGGATATGGGTTTTGAACCTCAGATTCGTAAAATTGTTGATCAAATACGGGTCAGTATTTCTTAATATAGTTTAGGTTTCTTCTTGACTTCTCATTTAAAGATTACTGTCGAGATAACACATGTCTTTTTTCAGCCTGACAGGCAAACACTCATGTGGAGTGCCACTTGGCCAAAGGAGGTGCGACAGCTGGCTGAGGACTTCCTGCATGATTATGTCCAGATCAATGTGGGGAACTTAGAGCTGAGTGCCAATCATAATATCCTGCAGATAGTGGATGTGTGCATGGAGAACGAGAAGGATCATAAGTATGGATGTTGTTATATTATCTTCAGATTTTATCTTGATTCCAAGTAGTCCTCGCCTTATGACCACGATTAGAACTGGAATCTTAGTTGTTGAATGAAGTGGTCGTTAAGCAGGATGCCCACGTGACTTTTTCTCAACAACCATAATCTCGACTCTCCAGGTTGTGGTCATTAAGTAATTCCCAGGTTATTAAGCAGATGGACTAAAAGAGCAGCCTGCCCAGTTCAGTTTTCCTCATGACTAGAAGGAACTGCTTTGGCAGGTTGCAAGAATGGAGCTTGGACTTTTGGGATCTGAGCTCCGTTTTTCCATCCTGCCAGAGGAGTTCAGTTCCCCTCAGTAGGCAACTTTGTCAGTCAGCCCCCAACATTTAGGCTTGCATCCTTCCCCACTGGCTTCCCCATTGACTTTTCTTGGAAGGTCAGCAGAGAAGATTGTAAGTAGCCATCACATCATTGTCGGGCATTTGATAACCTTGATAAGTGCAAACAGTTTGTCGGGCACCAAGATTGCAATCATATGACCACAGGCTCTGGGTGTGAGAGAGAGAGTTTTTATGATGACTACAAGTGCTTTATGCTGTCAAGTAGCCTTTCTGAGGCCACTGTGACTAGACTTTAAACAGTCATTAAATGAATGATCATAAGTTGAAGACTAGCTGTAGAATCAATGTTTTTAAGTTTAGCAAAATCTTTTTAATATTTTTATTTTGTCTTTATTTTAATTGTATTTAAAGCCCCTCTAAGAAAACCATTATGTCAGTGCTATTTGCTTTGACATTTTAGAAATAGTTCAAACCACACACCTAAATTCTTTAATTTTTTTCTGTCAAAAGAACAGGGATGACGAGGGGTGCGGGGTGCGGTGGAGGATTTGATTCACCCTTTTCGGCATTGTGGCCAATTACAGTAATTCATTAATTGTAGAGGGGTGCACAGAATAGAATATACAGGAAAAGAATGAAACAGTATCTCTTGTTTGTATTTGTTTAAAAGATTAATACAGCTGATGGAAGAAATTATGGCTGAAAAAGAGAATAAGACTATTATCTTTGTGGAAACAAAACGGCGATGTGATGACCTAACACGAAGGATGCGTAGAGATGGGTAAGGTTTGATTTTAACATTAGTATTAAATTGGGAAAGACAGATTAGTTTTGCACCCGCTCGCCAGGTTATAGTAAAGAGGTTTTAGTGAATTATAATTAAATCCTATGAAAGGATAGATGAGACTGACTACTTGAAAAGTTACCATAGAATGCCATGGTTCATGTAAAATAGCAATAGATGTTACAAGATTGTTATAGCTCATGATAACTATAAATGATAAAAAGAAAAGAAGATAGTCTTTACAGTACAACAATTCCTTCAGCGACGATTTGAAGCATCGTCAATGCAGCAGTGAATGAATGGTATTTAATCTGGTCCCTGAATTTATGGCTGTTATATTTCCCTGCAATCACATGATCAAAACTCAGACATTTGCCAGGACACCCACATTTACAACTGCCGGAGTGCTTCAATTCCCATACCTGCTCTCTCTCCCCCCCTCCGGCTTGGATTGGGGTGTCTCCTTGTCTAACAATCGATGGGATTCAGTTACCAGCAACTAGGACTGCTGGGTTGTTGTTCCTAAGCAATGCAATCACATGTCGCTCTTTACAGCTGCATAGAGATGGAAATTCCAGTCCCAGTTGCTGTTTTAGCTTGGTGGGGGGGCACAAATAGTACCAGTTTAATACCATTAATTTGAGGGGATGTGGACTTATTAACATACACATGAAAATAACATTTAAAAGATGATAAATAGAAAATTATGGTATTTCTGAAATAACGCAGATTATAATTTGACAATATAAGCAAAAGATAGAACACAATCTGATTCCAAAATGTTTTTTGATGTTACCTTCAGATGTAATGATTTAATATACTTGTATCTCCAAAAGGGTTCTGCACATATATTAGCCTCTGTTTAGTTACATATTATGCTAGCACTGATGGGAATCAGCCAATATTGGAATCAAATACTTTCAACCCCAAAGTTTGATTAAGTTATTTGAATTGATTATAAAATTCCTCCAGTGCAGAGAAAGTAAAAATATGGATTTCTATCTTCATTCAGAAAAACCTGCTTCTATGTATGAAAAAGCATCCCTTGCTTCAGAAGTATGGTATTGTTTTGAAAAGTAGTTTCTCAGTTTTTTGTTTTGATTTCTAAATCAAAATTTTACACACTCCAAACCAAAAGTCTTTCTTTAAAATTCCTGAAAATTACAGTAAGCATTTGGTTTAGTAGTCCTTGGTTTAATAAACTCTGGATAGCCTGGACAAATTTTGTGTTCAGGATTCACCCTAATTGAATAGGCTTAACACCCAGAATTACACAAATGACAATGCAACTCACAAAAATGAATCTTTATGAGACGTCTTTAGTTTTAACAGATCTCCCAAATGTTTAAATTGAGGTTTTAAAATATATTCATTTATATCATTAAACTGTAAAAAGGTTCATATTTTTTGAATATATGGTAGCTGAGAATGCTTAAAACTCTTTGTTACAGTTGGCCAGCTATGTGTATTCATGGAGACAAAAGTCAGCCTGAACGAGATTGGGTGCTTAATGGTGAGTTGTAGAAAAAAGATTGTTTCATTTACCCAGAGAATGCTCTGTTTTATTCAACCAGCTGCTATGTACATTTTTATTGCATAATGTAAACATTAATACTAAAACAGCTTTTAAAATGTGTTGTTATGAACCAGAGATTTACATCAAGATTGTTTCTTTTCTTTCAGAATTTCGTTCTGGAAAGGCTCCTATCCTCATTGCCACAGATGTTGCATCTCGTGGGCTAGGTTTGTATACATGAGCTTCCTGCCTGTCATTTCTTTAGATTGACATTTTTCCCCCCAAAGAATTTTAAAGCGTGACTTTCTCATATATGAAATGCCTTTTTAACATTGATCTTTTTTTTCTTTCATATTCAAAATCTCTTCCTGCTCCTAATGAACAGGCTTTGGTCTGCAGCAAGGCCTAGGCATGACTAATCGATCGCCAATGGGGAGAAGATACGTCCAATTACTCAACCCAATTCTTCCACTATACCCCATCTCCTTTAATTCCAGCTTTGTGGCTGGGTGGCTAGGACTGAACTGTATTCATTACGTTGTTATTCAGAATTACCAGATGGTAGAACAAGCATCTCTTAACAATCCTTTTTTGCCCAAATGCATTACTAATGTAATTGCACATTATAACAGCCCCACTTCAATATTACAATACATAAGATTTATATGTGTGAGCATATTTTGCTTTTTTACACATATTCTTTTTCACCTTTCCTCCTCAGTTGGATTGTTGAGGTTGTAGTAAAAACTTTAAGGGAGGGTTATAATAAAAATCTGTCAGCGTTTCAGTGCTTTCATCTCCTGAATGTTTAAGCAAACAATTCAATTGTTCTTTACATTTAATGTTCAAATCTCTACCTCTAGTACATTCAGAAAGTAGATTTAAATGGGGTTGTAGATACTTGAAAAACATTGAAAAGACATTCCTAAAAGGTTTTCAGTTAATGTTGAGTTCAGTAGACTCAATCTTTTATTAAAAGTAATTTCTCAAATATTTCAGATGTATTTTAAATATAGGATCAGTTAAAAGCTATTCTTGAAAATGCTGGAAAGACAGCTGCTTGTTAGCATTTCTGAAAAATGACAAGTCTTTTCCTCACATAAAACTCATTCTCCCATGCCATCTCCAAAATTATCCCAATGCTCCTCTAGTTCATATGGTTTCAGTCTCTGTGTTCTGGGGTCATGTCTGGACCTATGCAGGTAGAACTTGGGCTGTTAGGAGAAGGGGTGAGCCCAGTTTTTTTAAAAAAATAAATAAAGCAAAAGGACATATTTTGGTTGGCAACATTTTGGTTTTTAAACAGGCTTGCTGTGTGCTGGTAGCTTCTTTGTGCATCTTGCCTAGACACTTAAATCAGCCCTTCTCCTCATATATTTCCCCAAAACAACTCATTTGGATACTACTGGAAGAAAACAGTCTCCCCGTTCTGCCTTCTCCACTTGACTTAGGCTGTGGGGAAAAGGTATCAGGGTCTGTTTCTTGTTACGAATAACATCTTGGCTTGTTTTGGGGCCCAGAGTTTGCTACTTCATAAAAATACAATATCTAACTGGCAAATCTCTGGACGAATTCCTCCAAGTTCCTGGAAAGTGAAGGCTTCTACCTAAAACATAGAACAGGGGCGCGCGCTTTTTGGCTGAGTCACCAGGGTTTTTCCTTCTACTCAAATGAACATTGGTCTCAGAAAACTCCTTCCAGGTAAGTTGAGTGCCCCATAATGGCTTGTTTGTGAATCACCCCCAGGGCAGAAAATTTCCCTCTGCACTGTTCATTAAAAATTTGGTTACACTTCACTCTGTTAAAGTCAAATCATTAAATTTCTTTTTGTTTGTTTTCTTTAACAGAAACTTTGATATCAGCTGCCGATCACTCAGTGCAGGTCTGGGGACATATCTACATTGGTGGTCGAAGCAGCTTTCTAGATGATCGAGTTTGCTAGTTTCTGCCCCTCCCAATTAACAATCAGACATTCCTTTGGGGGGCATCTCAGTGGATAAGCATCCCCAGGTAGTCATATTCCTTTTTAGAATGAACAAATTCTGTGGAAGAAACACTGTGATGAGCACAATTTTACATCAGTGCAAGATAGATAGTAAGAAACCTGCATTATAACTGCATGTTCTCTCCCTGAGTCCCCAGCCATATAATATGGATGTCATAACTGCCATTCGAAGGTGAAAATTGGCCCCGCCTTCTCCTTTCCCCTCCTTGTTGTCCTTTCATGGATTTTCTGGCAAAATCCATCCCCGAGTACCTTCATTGTTGACAATGTCTGTATTTCCCAATAAACAAGTGCTCCCTGGTATTTATTGTGACCATCTTGCTAATGGATATACATAATGGGATCGATTGAGGTCCATAATCTGCTGTTTGTCAGACTCCAGTGAAGCCCTAGCTATGAAGATGTGAATGCACACGGTGTGCTGTCCTGTCCTTATCTAACACAAGCCCTTTGCACCAAGGACCCTAGTTGGAGACTCGCGCTGCCCCCTGTGAAATCTGCCTTCTCACTTTTTGGTGTGATTCAGGACTTTGGAGTCTGGAAAGATTGAGGAGCCCCCCCTTGCTGTAATAAGAAACAGACATAACATCTCTTTGCCACTACTACAGCCCACTTCCATTTTTGTTCTCCTTCCCACCCCCTTCCTTTTATTTGAAATTGATGCAGTCTGGGCAATAGATGCAGCCTGACCTGTTGGATGTAATTTTTTGCATCTTCAATTTTGGCCCCTTTAAGCCCTGTGAAGGGACAAAAAGTGTTGGAGGACCTGAAACATTTACGTGAACCCAGGTTCTCCGGCGCTTGACGGCCAAATAGGCTACAGAGAAGCATCTAAGCCAGTTCACAGAGTGAGCGTCTGTGGGGACTTCTCGCTGCCATGGACCCTTGATGCATGCTCCCCGCGCTCCAGTGGTCCCGTGTCAGAGGGCGGAGTTTTCGAAAGGAGGCCGCCAAAAATAAAAGGCAAAGAGACGGGATCGGCTGCAGCGATTTCCCACAGGAGGAGGGAGTGTGCATCGGTCTGGTAACAAAACAGGGAATGTTTCTCATTTTTTTAAAAGAAAAAGTCAATCTGTGTTTTATCTTGGATATATTTTGAATATTCTTTGTAAAATGCAGATTTTTAATGGGTTGTTAAATTTTAATGTAATACTGCTTTTGTTTGTCAATTTTTTTTATATCAGAACAGTACACTAACATTTACTTGTTTTTCTGTCCTCATTTCTGAAAACTCAGATGTTTATGACTTTAAATGTTTGCATCTGAGTTCTCTTTGTTTAGGTTACACTGTAAACAATATGCTAAAATTTTCACTAAAATGAACGTGGTGGTGTGATCAATGTTAGTGTGTATTTTTAAAAGGAAGATTAAAATAAGCTAGTTATCTATTTATGCAAACTGACTCTCTTGAGATATCTTTTGGATATCAGGAAGCGGGGAAATATATTTAATTATTTTTAAACCTTTTTGGAAAAGGTTTGTGTCCTATCCCTTGTGATAACCTGAAGGTAAGTGATCTTGTGCTGCTAGTTTTTGTAGACTTCTCCTAACAGAGTTAAAGTATTCAGCAGTTCTCTCTCTTGCTCACTCTGGTTTGCTGCATTTGTAATAAAAATAGGACATTTGTTCCCTTTTGAAATGCTGTTGTGGAACAAAATTGCCTGAATTATATAAGACAAGGTTTCAAACATGACAATTTCTGTGTGTGTGCGTGTGTGTGTGTGACATGCATGCAGCAAAAGATGGATGAATTTGAGAGGAATTATGAACTGCTTTGACTTGATATTTGTTTTCTGATCACAAACTCCTTTTTGTGCACAATTATCTTAGTTTAGCCTTTTGCTCTGTTAGGAAGAGTCTTTACTGTCTTTGTATTTTACAAATACTAACTTTTTTCTTTTCTCTTGTTACTGTCACTTGCATTTGTGCTCCCCACCTTCTGTTGGCACATCCTTCCTCCACTGCTCTCCTCAATTCCTCACTGTGCTTTGATTGTCTTACAAGATGTGGAAGATGTGAAGTTTGTGATAAACTACGACTATCCAAACAGTTCAGAGGATTATGTGCATAGAATTGGCCGTACTGCCCGTAGTACCAACAAAGGCACTGCCTATACATTCTTCACACCAGGAAATCTGAAACAGGCTAGAGAGTTAATAAAAGTTCTAGAAGAAGCCAATCAAGCCATCAATCCAAAACTGATGCAGCTTGTGGACCACAGAGGTGGTGGTGGTGGAGGAGGTAAGAGATTGGAGTATTTTGGCTGTTTCAGTGTCTTTAAGCTGGGTTTGGTTTCCCAGCATGTGATAACACTTCATTAAACTTGTTAAGAGGATAAATCATTCTTTAAAACAAATACATTTCCTTCTGTATATCTCAACTCATCTAAACTTCATTCTTTCTGTTATTGAAAGATGTTTCCAGAGCCCAACATCTGCATATTATGAGTCAGGAATATTTCATATATTGTCAAAGCATATATATTACTGGAAATTCAAGTTAAATGGTATTTCTCTGGAATGATACCTTTAGAATTTTGGACATTTTAAACATGCTGGAGAACAAAATTAGAATATTGTTTGTGTGTCATAACTCCTGCAGGCTACTCATAAAAGAGAGAGTTTTGTTCTTGCAATAGTGTTTCTAACCTTTTTAATAATTAAAGTGGGTTCTAATGTGAATAACAGCATTCCATCATGTCATGCTGGCCACACAACCACGGAAATGTCTTTGGACAGTGCTGACTCGATGACAATTGAAAGGGAGATGAACATCTCCACCTTATAGTTAGCAACCATTAACGGAGTAAAATCTGCAGGGAGTCCTTTATTTTTTACCTTTAGTGTGAATAAATCTACAGTTTTAATTAATCATTATATTTGTACCCAAAACAACTTGCACGTCAGGTTAGCTTGCCTGTTGTTGCTGCTATTGCACATTTTTGATCTGTTCTTGGATAATCTGATTTAAAATTATAGCAAAAACTATAAAGATATATAATAAATCTTCACAACTTATTTCTTTGTAGCCAATAATTGCTCACTCTATTCACGCTATCATGCCAGAATAAGGTGAACAAAAAAGGCTTTTTTTATTTTTTGGTATATAAAGAAACTATTGTTGACTTAGTGATTTTTTTTTTGTTTTTTGTTTGATTTCTGTTGTTTTATTTCTATAACATGACAAACACATAACATACAACATACAAATATATATACAAATATATATTTGTATGTTGTATATGTGTGTGTGTGTCTGTATATATACATATACATATATATATGTTGTATATATCCTCTTTTTAACAAGTGTTTCTTTGTGGTTTGCTTTCCACTGTGACTTCCCCTCCCCCCCATGTCTCTCATATTGTTCATTTTCTTCATTGTCCCCTGACAAAAAAGGCTTTCAATAGGAATAGAAAATGACAGCTTTCATTAATAGTGAAGTAAAAATGATTTTCAATCTTTTGCCTGTGCTTTTAAGAATAAAACGGTTGGGTGTGTATTATCAAAATAGTAAAGAAAAACTCTGTTAAGTTACACAAGGCCTTCATGATGAACTAGTAAACATGTCTAGTTGTATTGAAAATATTCAGTGGAAATTACTAAATTCAGGTCTGTCTGTATGTATATATTACCAGGTGGTCGTTCTCGTTATCGCACAAGCAATTCATCCAACAATCCTAATTTGATGTACCAGGAGGAGTGTGAGCGAAGGCTCCGGGGAGTTAAGGATGGCCGAAGAGACTCAAGTAATTTCCGAGACCGTGATCGCACTGACAGTTTTGCCAATGGAGCCAACAAAGCCTATGGTGGTGCTTACGGAAATGCAACTTCTGCATTTGGGGCACAGCAAAGCCAATATGGTTATGCCCAGGGAGCCTATGGAACTGCAACTTATGGAGCAAGTGGTTATGGGGCAGAATATGGTGCTGCTGGGTATGGGGGAGCCAGCACTGCTAATGCTGGGAGAAACTCACAAAGCACCAACCAACAGCAGTATGCAGGGATGGGCCGTTCAGGCCAGCAGCCACAGCCTCTCATGTCACAACAGTTTCCTCAGCCTCCTGGCACCAGTGTGATGGGCTATATGGGGCAGACTGCCAGTTATCAGTATCCTCCACCGCCACCACCCCCTCCTCCTTCACGCAAATGAAGCCACTTCATTTAGTGGTTATCAGTGAAGATTTGCAACCCTTTCTCACTTTTTCTGTCTCTTCCCATTCTCAACATCATCTCCATAGTGATGTTTTTCTTACCATCCAAATTGTGCCCACAAAAATGGTCCTGGTACACATTAACTGATTTTCTTTTAAAAACTAGTATCAACTATGGAAAACTAATTACCTTATGGCCTTGCATTATGTAATCTGAAATTTTCTGTCTCAAAAAAGAAAGATCTACAAGGCAGTTTTGTCCCAGTCCAGCTGTTATTGTGTCTGAGGCTTGTGTATGAAAAATTGCTGTGGAGAGGACTTTGGTGCAATCACTATAATATAAACATCAAAAAAGATAGTGCTAAGGAGTACCTCCTTTTTAACGGAATATTAAATGTGTGATTTTTGCTTACTGAAATTGAGACTTAGATTTTCTACAGCTAATGAAATGAGGTCTTGGATTTGACATAGGAGAATTTGGGAAGATAATTTCTCTGGTTTGACTCTACTTATTCTTTCAAACTTCTACAAAATGTAAAAATAATTTTGAGTTTAGCTAGCGTTTCTGCAGCTTCTGAATGTCTTACCAGCCCTGTGCATAAGGGATGTAAGTGTTGGAGATTAATGTTCTGTTGCAATGCATTTTCACCTTAGGTGTAATCACAGAATTGCTACACTTTATTTTTATTGGATTTTTCTATGGCTCTTAGATTTCACCCAAGATATCACAAATGACATCTGCCCCATAATTTCAACTCGGGGGTTGAAGTTGTACTTATAACAAAAGGTATATCTATAAACATGGGGAATCTATACAGTTCCTATATGTTCATCATCTGATCCATTTACTTGGTATCAAGATTCCTCAATGGACATGCGTGAGATCCCACTGCATTAAGCAAAAGTGTTCCATTTTTCAGATTTACTTAAGCTAAACAAAATCTTAAAATCTCATAAAGGGATGGTGAGGAGATAGCTAATATGCCTTGAAGCTGCATTTATATCCACATCTGACTAGGTTTCCAATGGCTTTATGAGTGAGTTTCTTCAGCTGGCTCCTATACTCAGCTTTTACAGGTAGGTAGCACCCTAGATTTTAGGAGGAGAGAGAACTTTAGCAAATGCTTTCATTCATTTTTGTTTTTTTTCCCAGTCTGAGAAAGGTTTAAAGTTGGGGAGTGGGGAGGGTGGGATGGGATATTCAAATATTAAAGTTTCTGTTTTGTAAGTAGCAGGAGAAAGTTGATAGTAGTTGGTTTCACCTGTTATGTCCAGATAAACATGGCAGGAAAATCTCTTCTGTCCTAAGAGACAGAATCTATGGGGGTTTTCTTTTCTTTTTTTCTTTTTTTTTTCAGTTTTGGGAAACAGGTTGTTAAAACAACTGAGTTATTTATAGCAATGTGGGTTTGACTTATAAAAATGGGATTTAAATACATGTTTCTCAATAAGAGCAGGCTGGAGAATAATAACCACTTGTGTGCCTGCGCACATCATACAGGTAGGTTGTTGGTACAGACCTTGTACAATAAAGGCTTGCTAGTTAAATCCTCTTTCTCAGTTTGAGTTTCCATAATCGTAATTAAGATATATATTTGGCAGTTATCTTCATTGAAAATATTAGAAATGAACATTCATTTACTGAACACTGCCTGATTTGTATTTTCTTTCTTAATAAAAACATCATGGAGCTGTTGTTCATGCAGAAATAAATCTACAGGCCTAGAGTAGGGTTGGGGGGGTAGAATAAATTCTTCCCCATTGTCTTTAAAGGAATTTGGTCTTCATCTTTGCCAATAGAAAATTGTATTAGGGCCTTACAGTGCTGTACTGTAGCTTGAACATAGTTACAGCTTGGTGTGTGTTGTGCTCAGACTGAGCATTAACAAATAATTGAACTCTGACATGTACAGCTTGTTTCCACATATCAGTTTAAAAATGTGGCCAATTGGTAATAATATTTGCTCAGTAAATATACCAATATCCAGCCTATATTCCCTTTTACAAAAGTCATTGTGTAGGCTTTGTTTAGTTAAAAGATGCAGACTCTTAAAACCCTGCAGGCTTCTTAGGTTGAATCATTGGGGACTGTTTTTCCCCCATATTGGTATTTGAACACATTCCTGTTCTGTGAATAAAGACTTGAAAAGAAGAGATTCATAGCTCTCTGATGTTCAGGCACAGTATATTAAAAAGCTATGTTACTATTAGTTTGTAAATTGTCCTTTTGATACCATCTTGTTTTCTTTTGTAGGTATAAATAAAAACACTGTTGTCAATAAAATTCAGAAATCTTGTTTTTTTTATTTAAAAAAAAAGTTGAATATTTAAAAATGTTTTCTCTAATCCCTTGAGGGAACGTTGATAGTTTAGGAAAGAGTGTTAGGTCACAGCTGTTTTAGTATTTATAATCATTTGAAAATTGGTGTGAACTTTTTAGAAAAGGATGTAGCCATTATACAATTGTTAAATCATAATCTGGTTTTTTCAGTTTTGAAGGAACGCTTCTTTATAAAAATACTGCAGATGAGTCATCTTCTATGCTAAATAGTTTAGTTCTGAAATGTTAGTTACTTAGACCTAGTCTCTTTGGTGCAATCATGTTTTCTAATCGAAATGTAAAAGAAAAGGGCATATGCTCTGAATTCAAATAGTGACATGGCAAAAGAGTCTTGAATCCTGAAACGGGGACTTCATCTGCTTTCTTCCATTGTGCACATCTTCATATAGGCATTGGAAGACTCAGTTTCTTCCCTTTTAGTACTAAAAGAAGAGGAGGAAAAATAGCTCAATAGTAGAAAGCAATGGCCTTTTAATTTCCATATTTTTATGCTATACAAAGAACATTTAATGGTGTCTTTAGCACAAGAAAGTACATCGACTTCTATACAAAGTATGCTAAGGTGAATTGTTTTTTCACCGTAACTACTCAGTCAGTAATATCTAGCAATCCTAGAATGCAAAGATTGGGGTGGGGGACAACAAGGTATAATTAGAAGTTAGTATACTTTTTGCTTGTGATTTGTAAGACATGGTTATGGATATTCCCTCCAAAATCCTGCATGTGCATTATTTTTGTTAAAAGTTATGAATGAAAAAGGACAACTAAGGTGATGGGAAAGCTTCTAGGTTCACAAACTATGATTTCTCTCATACAGAAAATAAATATTCAAATAATCAAAAACAAAATCACTGATTGACAGCTGTCTCAAAAGAAGCTTTTGGGGGGAAGAGGTATTCAAATTTGGAAGCAGAGCCTGTTGTGTGTTTGCTTAGGCCCAGCTGAAACAGGTTTTGACAGTGTTCCCCCAAGGCAGGAATTGTGTCCAAAGTTGGTCTAGAAACCCTGTCCTCTTAAATTGCTCATAATCCAAGAAATAACCCAAACCTGTGACACAGGAGACACAGGAGATAGCATGTCATAATCCATTTTTTTCTTAATCTTTTGGTGATCCTTACCTTTGGTGACATAGAGATAAAAAAAATCACAATAGAAGATCGTCTGTACTACTCCAGAAACAACAGCAATTTGATCAAAGAAGCTTTCTGTGTAATAACGCCAGATCCAGTTGGCAAGATAAAGCGCACGATAAAGGCCCAAAAAGAAAAGGTAATGTGTTGTGATTGTCTCAGCTTCACCTGTTTTGCTAATCATAAAAAGTTGTGGAAGGATAGCCACTGATTCTAGATAAATTGAGAAAGTCCATAGTATCTGAGGAAGAACAGTAAATCCAAAATAAATATCCAAAACATTGACACAAAAAGCTACAAATATGCATAAGCTATTAAATAAGTAGTTTCAGAAAGCTGAGCTCACAAAAATATGGACATCATTGTACTTAAGCAGAAACAAATATCTTACCTCTAAAGGAGTGAATTTGTAGTTTTCTAAAAAGGAGAGACCTGTGACAGGAACCAAAAGGAACTCAAGACGGAAAGAATCCTGTTCACTGTCAAAAGTTTTCCGGAATTTTCCATAGATCAGGTACACAGTAGCATAGGCACAAAGTAAGAAAATAACCTACAGAGAAATAGAAATCATTTATGCTACTATCTTCCCTGTTCAAGGGCAGCTTTTCATAATTGGTCAGTGATACTAATCGGACACAGACTGTTAGAAGCTCCAAGATTTAACATCTGATGAAGTGGGCTGCAGTTCCACAAAGCTTTTGGGTCCAATGAAGTAAATTAATCTTGAAGTTTCTACTTGACTGGCTTTCCCCATCTTTATTTAAAATTATTTAACAGTTAAGAGAAATAAATTTCTATAGGTTTTCTGTCAAGCAAATGGAGCAAAGCTTTATAGCATGGAAGCAAGTGCTGCTATACAGGTATTACCTAATTATTGGTACCGCAAGTTACATTTATGTAACTTGCAGTACCCCCAGCTATGCACCTCATGTATTGTCTTATCCACCATGCTCAGCGGTAGATAGAATGGTATCATCTTTTTCAGAGATGCATCTGTCCTTATAATTCATGTGGATTTGAAGTATGATGTTTTTGTTTCATGATTCTTATTTCCAGTTTGGCTTGATTTTTTTCTAGTACTGAATAGCTGGTTTTCATGGCTGTTGAATAAACAGCCTCCTCCAACACTTCAAATGTGTCAATCTCTCTCTTGTGCAGAGTTCATCCTTTGTACCTCATAACAGGAATGCTATGTTATGAGTTGGCCATTAAATGACAGTACTACTTAATGGCTTTTTCACAGTAAGCTATAGTTTTAATTCTGTATAATTTTTGATCCAGCCCAAAGTCCCTGAATATTAATTACTGTTTTCACGCCGTCATGCATGCTCTGTGCATTGCAATGGGAGGAGAGTAGCATTTTAAAAAATCTCAGTGAAGATTAGTCCTAGGATGCAGGTGGCTTAATCAGCACTGCTAAGAGAAAGGTATACCTTGTTGCTCTCGTTATTGCCATGGAAAGGGGAATTTCTGCATTACACTAGCTGCTTCCTGAATATGAAGCTTGTCTTCTTTTCAGTCTTTTTTTATATGTCTCTATTCATGCAGGAAAGCATTTCAGTGTATTTTATGAGTTTTATAAGTTTGTAGAGAAATTAAGGATATGGGGACTTTAGCATATCTGAACTTTTGGAAGCTGGGGGACAGGTTCAACTGGTAAATTTGACAATAGGAACGTAGAAATAATTTGCAGCTTCCCACTTTTAATCCCACTAGGATGGGATATGAACAGCTGGAGAAAGCAAAAACATCTATGGTACTGAGTCTTTTGGTGCCTGGGTGTTTAATTGTTTAATTGCAGTTGTTAAGTTAGTAAAAGTGAATCTGGCTCAGCCATTGACTTTGCTTATCAGAAAGTTACAAAAAGTGATCACATGACTCCAGGACACTGCAACTGTCATAAATACGAGTCAGTTGCCAAGCATCTGAATTTTGATCATATGACCTTGGAGATGCTGCAACAGTCATAAATATGAAAAACAGTCATAAGTCACTTTTTTCAATGCCATTGTAACTTTGAATTGTCACTAAACAAACTGTTGTAAGTCAAGGACTACCTATAGATGAATAATCTAAAATTACAGTGTCTTAATTTGGAAGTGGGAGGGCGAATTATTTAGCTATTACTTACTCAAAATGGGCTACGCTTAAAAAATTGCATGACTCAAAACATCTGAATTACTCAATAAATGAATCAACTAGTTTTATTCTCCTGTTTCCTTACCTTCATGATGGTATTGTAAAAGGAGATGAAGGTTGTGAAGAGGTCAAGGTAACGGCTTGTGAAAACAAGTGCAAAGAGGATCTGACTCTTTCCTGAAATACCTGCACATCATGAGATATGAACAACAAATATAAAAGAAACCAAGGAAAGGCTGTTTGAGGCTTTAAGCCTAAAGATGCAGATTACTTAGTTGGCTGCGGGAGGCAGCAACTGATACCTGATGCCACAACTGCCCAAGAGAATCCTCTGAGATCAAAGTACCAGCTTCTGTCATGGAAAGAGACAGTACTGGACATTCACTCAGGCAGTTGAGTAGTCCAGCCCAGGACTCCCAGGTTCACACATTATTCTATTTTGTCTAATGGTTGCAATTGCAAAAGTGTGTTACTTTAAAACAAAACCAAAAAAAAAAGCTGTTCTAGGTGAATGAACGCATAGTATTAGGAAAACAGTTCTTTTTGCAAGGTTCAGAAGCTTATTGTTAAGGCCTTTAGAATTCAGAGGAAACTTCTTTATAACCTGAAACTAACATTTTCTCTCAGAAATGGAACTTCTGGGATTACAAAACTTCAAACTCCTCTACTGGTTACCCAGATGTTTACATTCCAGATCTGGCAGCCCTGCTCAAAAAAAAATTAGTATTTTTTTATTGTTCAAATGGCTTTTATAAATAACAGTGTGATTCAGTAATGGAATATTGCGTGTATATTTGTGGATCTCCAGTCTAAATGTGTTTGAATATTAGTAGCTCGGGTTGGTAGTTAGGCTGTCGGTTTAAGCTCTGAGTTTAGTAATTTGGTTGCAAACGTTTCGTTACCATACGAGGAGACATCGTCAGTGCGTTTTGAGTTGTTTTGAGTCAAAACGCACTGATGATGTCTCCATGAATGATGACAAAACATTTGCAATCAAATTGCCAAACTTGGAGCTCAAACCAACAGCCCATCTCTAGTTTAAAGATACCTACATAGATATCTATCTATACAGTAAAGATATAAAAATATTTTAAGAGGAAAAATCACTAAACTAATTTATTTAAAAACTTTAGACTAATGTCTACCTAAAGGCAGCAACATCAAACAAATGATGATTTGATACAAATGAATTAAAGTAGCTGAAAATAAATATTAGAATCACCTCTTTTTTTTAGAAGTATAAGACATTAGAAGTATAAGACAGTAGAAGCCATTAAGACTAGTGATTGTCCCATAAAATCTCAGTAACGCTTAGCCAGTTTTTACTACAAACAGACTGGTACTAGCAATCTTTTTTAAAGACAGAAGAATGGTCGAGTAAGAGCTGAGAAAGTTATGCAATGATTTCTGGGAAGTTTTCAAAAGCAGTTATTCTTTATATACAACATGTTGAAATAATTGAACCATGCTGCCTTATTTTGGGAGGGTAGGAACTGAATCAGGATAATTTAAAAGTTAATGTTTATCCAAAGAACAGCCTGTGCATATGGTCTTTTGTCACAATGGAATAGTATGCAATTGTAAGGAGGAAGGAACGAAGAGGTATGCTTGATTTGTCTATATAGAGTGTCTCTTTTTTGTATGTACCTCTCCAGCTCTCATTCACATATAAATACACCCAAAATGTCAAATGCTTCTATTCTGTCTGAGAAGGAAATCACTGGATAATTCCAGTGATCCAAAATCTTGTACATTTGTTATTTCCAAAACCAAATACTATTTATAAAAGAGAAAAAGCGTGGATGGATGAATCAGCAAGTTGAAGACAAATTTTCAGACATTGTAATTCAATCATTCAACTGGCTGACAGGTTCTATTTTTTCTACATTTCTCACAGTGTCATTCTTGGGCTGATGAAGAACATTTGAATATTGGTTACAATCCACCCCAATCGGCTACAAAATTTTTATCTTGTTTGGGTGGATTGGGGATACAACACTTCGGTATCTATTAGAAAGTATACTTGAAAATTGTGCCTATAATTTTTAGTCTCAGCCCAACTGAAGCCCACAGGATTGTTTTACCATTCATTCTGAACGTCCCAAAGGTGCTTTTTCAAGAAGTAGCTGGATTTTCTTGTTTTTCTTCTAAAATGTTTCACTTCTCATCCGAGAAGCTTCTTCACCTCTGACAATTAGAGCTCCTTGGATGAGAAGCGAAACATCTTCAAAAAAAACCCCAAGAAAGTCCAGTTGCCTCTTGAAAAAGCACCTTTGGGACAACCATGACCTGGATGGCTGAGAATCTCCATAGACATTCACTATAAAATTAATGAAAAGTCCCATTAATCTCTCTCCATCCCCCTTTCCATTCATCCAATCCCCCTGGAGGAAAAAAAAGCTTACAACATAGAGGACACTTACTTTGGAGTAATCCACACTAAATTCAATAACAGTAAAATCAGTTTCTAAATGTATGTATACAGCTGAGTTGAGCATATACCTCTACCATTCTCTACAATTGTCAACAATACCAGCATCAGAATGTTTCAGTCCCATTAGCCCATTTATGTGGCAAGGACTTCTCTTTTGTGCATTGATTTGTGTGTATAAGAGAGGTGAAGAGAGAGAGCTGGAAAGGACACTAGCACTACATCTGGCTTTATTCATTAGTGGATCTAACTCCACCCCATCATCCGCTAATTTGTTAACCCTCCTTGGATATTCTTTCTCAGACTTCATAAAATGTTCAGCACATAGGATGGGAAAAGAGAGATTCTGGAATACTTCTGGGGAAAAGGGGCTTTTGACTTTTTATTGCTACTCTGAGTAGATTCTCTTTTTGGAAACAAATTTGAAATTGGCTGGTAGCTTCAGAAAAGTGCTGGCATAAAATGATTGGAAATAACAATATGAGCAAAACAGGAAAGGAAAGCAACTTATTGTAGAACATAGAAAAGAGTAGACTCAGTCCCTGAGAAACAATCATTATATGAGCTAGAGCAGTGTTTTCCAATCCTAGAGACTGGGGAATTGAAGTTCACACATCTTAAAGTCTCAAAGTTTGAAAACAGAGCTAGAACATAAAAAAGTTCTTACAAATGTTCAAGGTCAACTTATTTATTGTACAGCTAAGGTCTACAAGCAATCTATTATACTTTAAGAAGCCACATTATTCTTTTCTCTCCCTCTCTCTAGATAGTTATTATGGAGACTTGTTTGGATCTTATTGGGGTTTCTTTCCCATTGTTTTGCCTCAGACACAACTGTGAAGGCCTTAACTAAACTTTTTAAAAATTAAAAGAAGACACCTGGATGGGGGGTTGAGAGCACAATAGGGAAATACAAAAACAAGAGGAATACTAATGCTTAATCCAGCTTGTATGTACTGTTGTATTTGAAAGAGAAAATGTGTCACAGGTTATCTCCTGGTCTTTGACAGCACAGACATTCTAGTTATTGAACTTGGGGAAACATCACACCTGGTCCTCCATTTTTGCCATCCAAAGCGGAGGTGGGGATGTTAGAAATTCACCACTTCAATACTACATTTAATTTCTGAAATCCACCAAACAAAAGCTGAGCAGGGTGGAGGATGGGGGAGACAGCCAATTAGAGAAGAAATTGAACTGCATGGATATTGGTGGAAACTGGTTATTGCTGATACATGAACCTGGAATAATCCTTGTCCACAGCTACAAACATTCTAAATTTCATAGGGATGGTCTTTACGTGGAAGAAATATAAAGATGAATATTCCTATTTATCAGTGCAATTTTTTTCAACAATGGTGACTATGGGGACAAGTAGGCTCTATAAAAACAATGTATGAACTGAGAAATAATTGTCTCTGCTTATTTAACCTCCTGTAGTATTTGTTATCAGATGGGCACACATAAACATCAGAAACTATACAATGTTTGCATTATATAACTTCATAGCACCACTTCTTCTAAACAGATATTTCATTCTCAGAATCAGAAAGGAGACTGGTATGATAGAGTGGGATGGGCTTGCAAACAGGAAGTTGGGCATAGAAAGATTTTTTTCAAGGTCTAGGAAATACTTCTTGTGGCAAAGGATGTAACAGGTGAGAAGAAATCAAGAAAGGTAAGTAACTGGTATGAAGTTGGAGTTTTAGAAACTTTTTTCAGGAATACGTTTTAGGCGTCAGTGTCTGAAATTTAACAATTTTTATCTAGACTAATAAAGTTGATATTGTTAAAATGGATTGTAATTAAAAACCTTTATGGTTGCTATCTAAATTCAAGATAGTTTTGTCAAAAAATATAAAAACTCCAATCTATATCGGCTTCCCACAAAATGTCAAAAAAAGTGTGTGTTGCTATAGTAGTAAGATTTATGCCTCAAGTTGCAAACACTGTGAAAACCAGGGGCTGAGGGCAAGAGTCAGAAAGGTGGGCAAATGGGGAGCTATTCTGCCTTCCTTGCTTTCCCTTGGCTAGCCTGCTGCTGTTAAGCATGTTGGAACACAACTTTGTGAGCTGCTCCTCCTGTTGGTTCTGGACCTAATACTGGTAGACAGAAGGGATTCCATCTTTTTGCTTGCCTTAGGCTGCAAAGGCTCTTGACTAAGTCTAAAGTTTCCTAGTCCTCTAAATTGGATTAAATGTGTTTTCTTGCTGCCGCCTCCACTGCAACAAAAACTTCTATCTAGATTGGGATAGGAAGAAATTTAGTTTTCTTCAAGGAATTACTAAGTGCTGCTGAGCTGAATAACTCACTTTCTGATTTCCTTCCCATATTCCTTATTCCATATTTATTCCTCTATGCTATCCCCATATTCCTCTATGCAATGTTATAATAAACATTGTGCTACATATCTAGGATGAATGTGACTCCAGCAGCCTAAGGCTAAATCCCAAAATCTGACACTGTGGTCCATTTGTGTTCAAGTAACAAACTTCTGACTGGCCTGCCATTCTATATGGCTTTCTCATCAGTTTCAGCAAGATAGAGAAGAGAATAATAATAATAGAAATAATAATACCTACCAGAACATGACTTTGATCTCCAGATTTTCACTATCAGAATGATCATAGCTAAGAGATGAGAGACATCTCCAAGGATCCGAAATACATTCATGATGGCCCAAGAATGTCCCTACAGGAATCTGAAGAAAAGCAAGTTAATGTAAATTGAAAAGGAAGATGCCGATTCTCCACGCTCAAAGCTTGGGGAAAGGTGCTGCTCCTCCTCTTTGTCAGCTTCCTGCTTTAATGGTCCCTTTTCATTAAATTTCTTTGGCTATGCTTGTTTCTAGGTGACGAACTTTCTCACAGCAGAAATCTTCAGAAATACTGTGCATGGAAGTTTGAAATTAAAACTTGGTTGTACTCTGCACAGAGTAAAAGAAATTCCTTTTACACTTCTTCTCTAGAAAGTTTCTGCCTTCTCTGAAACTGATCAGCTCCTCTCGACCAAGTAATGGAAGAACATTAGAGAACAGCCTCAGTGCAGACACTGGGTGACGTGGCGTAGATGCTGTTTGTACAGAGAGGATGGTGGAGGGAGGCGGGAGCAGCCGCTAAGCCAAGTTAGCTAAACTTTCTCTTGCATCCCTTGACTTCTCAAGTTACAGCTTGAAATGTCCTTAAAGGGAAAAAGACAGGGAGGAGGCAGAGTCTTTCTAACTGAGGCGGGGGGACGACGACGACACGACAATCACTATTCAAATGGATGCAGATTCTGGAGATGATGAAGGACCCACCATTAATAACAACTCTTACTTGAGGTCATGGTGGGGCTCTGTGCAGGGTCATATTCCCTTCAGTGTTCACTATTCTGTGCAGATTTCTTTAGTCTTTTGCAAAGAGATTTAGAAGTCAATGGATGCCTTCCAATTGTTAAACAAGTTTTCTTTATAATGTTCCAGGTTCATCCAGAACTATTTACTCCACCCATGCAAGCTGGAATTCTTGTGGCATTTGAAACTCCCATCTCCTCTAATGGGAGATCCTTTATATGATGGACTATGATGGCAGTGCGACTAGACAGTGATAGTCCAGGTTCCCTTTATTTGGGAATAGTCAAGCTTTCCAGGATGAAACCTTTATTTGGAGTCATATTTTCCCCTTTCCCACCACCATTTCTTAACCTGAATATGGATTCCTTCTCCCACATCTACAGCTTTTTGGGTGCACAATTAAGGAACTGCTGAGGATCTGGAAAGAGTGCAGAGAAGAATGAAAGAAGCTTACAAGCTAAATTTCATAAAGAATAGTTAAATGAACTTGATGTGTTTAAACTAAAGAAGAGAAGGCTAAGGGTTAGAAGTGTAGCATTTGACTGCATGAAGGTATATTAGAGGGCAGAGGGTGAGGACTCTCCATTGCAGTGGTAACCAACCAGTGGTCCATGGATCACTAGTGTTCTGTGAGAAAATTTTGGTGGTCCACAGAAAAATTATTTGCATTTTTTATATTGCACTATTATTTATCTTTTTAAAAAATTCATATTAGTGGTCCGCGGGATTTAAATTATGAATTTAGTGGTCCCTGAGGTCCAAAAGGTTGGTGACTGCTACTCCATAGCACCTGAAGGTAAAACAACATCCAATGGTGGTAGCTTTATAGTGAGATCTAAATTTAAATTGGTGTTTCTCAACCTTGGCAGCTTGAGAATGTGTGCAATCATGCTGGATGGAGCATTATGGAAGCTGAGGTCCACATTCCTTCAAGTTCACAAGGTTGAGAAACACTGATTTGAAGCAAAGAGGAACTATAAGAATTCCTGACGTAAGAATTCAGAGGCAGTGAAACAGCCTGTCTCCTGAAGTTCTATCCCAAGAAAAGATTGGACCGCCATTTGTCTAGGATGGTATGAGGATTCTTGCATCTGTCAGGGAGTTGGATTACTTCCAATCCCATGATTCAGAATATTAATGAGTGCAACCCAACCCAACCCATTGTAGAAAGTAATGGCACCCATGAATAATCCAAAATACGCAAATAAATTAAAAAACAAAAGAACTTTAAATTTAAAATGGCTCTTAGTAATATTGGGTGGAGGGTGCTGAAAAATAAAGTAGGCTTCCAAAAGATTGGTTGGTAGAGCAGAGCAGAGTAAAATTCTTTATTGGCCAAGTGTGATTGGACACACAAGGAATTTGTCTCCGGTGCATAAACTCCCAGTGTACTTAAAACAACAAGTGATAGTTCATAGATCATAAATCATAGTTACAATCATTAATCATAAGATACAAACAACAAGTGATAAATCATAAAGTACCAATGGAAGAAGGTAGTAGGAAAGATGAGAAGATGAGAAATTAGAAAATGAGAAGGATAATAGCAATACAGCCTTACTACATGGGTAAATATCTTTAGGCCTAAAAATCAGTGCTGTGAGAATTGGGTGTCCAATTGGGCACAAAGGGAAAACACATGTCCATGCAATGTTTAAACTTTGGAATGCAAAGAAAAGGTGATAATCACCTTCTCAGATGGGCTTTAAAGAAAGTTGGGTTGACTATTGTGAAAACAGAACATTCAGACCAGCTCAGGACATTAATTAATATATATATATTCTCTGAACCAGGTGTTTTCCCAATTGTTTGATGAGTTCTTTATAAACTGATCTGACATCCCCACCATTACCCATCAACTGATTATTTTGTTTACAGAACCACAGTATGTACCTTGCTTACAATACATTTATCTGCTCTTCTTAACCATCAGTTATACTCTCCAGCTTACTCAGGCTCCTGTTCTTATTGAATTTTCTCTTGTCATATAAAGTATTGGCACCCTCTGTTCACTGATCAGGATCACACTTCACAACAGTGAACTCCTGAGATAAGCAAGCAACCCCACCTGCAAAAAGCAAACCTCTTTAGAGGCAGGAACTATGAAGAGAACAATACTCTCTTCCTAGTCTCATTGTTTGAGGGTAGCAGCCATCTGCCTAAAAGTAGGATCTGCCTTTCCTTTGATGCAGTATGATTATATTTAGGTTCTTAATGTTGGAAATATTTCATTTGCAATTACTCTTCAGTACCTCAAACTTATTGTGCACGAGAGGCAGTGGGTGTAGACAGATATACTGTAGATTTACTTTATTACCCTTTGTATTTTTATTTGCTGTCTGTTAAATTGTTAAGCTCAATACCTTTCCTATAAAATAGGAAGTAGCTATGAGAAAATGCTATTTTATTAATGTGCCCACCTGCCTAGCAAAAGAAGACAGGTGCTGAGAAATTACCTTTTGAAGTCATATATGAAGTCAGGGCCTGGAACCATGCGTCCCAGATTAATTCTGCCTGACTAATCTATATCATACAGAGTGTCTGATAAAGGTCCTCACCTATCATGCATTCTCTGTGAGAGCTCCCCTCTTTTGGAATACCTGCCTCCATGATGAGGATGGCTTTCACCGTCATATTTTTTCTGGAAGACGAGCCTTCTAGAATGCTTTGGGATTGATTGTGAAGTCATTAGTAGTCTGCTAGTTTCTTATTATTTTTGCTGTTTTGTTATTTATTATTATTGTATTTCATCATTGGTATCTATGGTATATGGCCCTGGAATCCATTAAGATTGAGATGGAAGAATCTATCAGATAGATAGATTGTTGTGTTGAAAGCCAAATGGATCAAAATTGTTAGGGATCCCCACTGTACATAATAATACCATGGCTCTTTACACACACACACACACACACACACACACACACCTTACATACACACGTTTTGTGGCTGTACAATACATTATTGATATCATCATCAGATATTATGGTTGAAACAGGCTTTTTTGTTCCTGTTGTATGAGCAATTCTTTTAAAGTACGGCAGTCATACTCTCAAAAAGTCCATGCTATTCTCTTTATAAGAACTCTCTTGTTCAACACATTGTTACTTTGCCCAAATTTCAACCCACTTCTCACTTAATTTGTGAGCATGGAGCTTTCTAATACAGAATTGTCTGTTTACAATGTTGAGTGCTGACCTGATTGCAGTATATATTAAAGGATGGAAACACCTGGGCATCACAGGCAAAACACTCTAGATGAAAGATGAGTGTGCTAGTCTCTTTTTATCTTTTTAAGAGTTTATTCTGTAGGCTGCATCTCATCACTCTACTTGTACTGCAGATTATTTTAGACCCTGGAATTTAAGATTTTATGAAGGTGGTTTTCTTTGGAAAACCATGTGTATTCCTTAGCTAGAAGCAAAATTCTGCCATTCTCCCTCTCTCCCCCCACTCTCTTCATTCACTCATTCCTCTATTGTTTTTTCATATCATGTATTTCATCTGACAACTGAAGGCAGTCTATATGAAAGCAGGCTGCTGCCTCCAACTAGACATGTTTTTAAAAGTTATAAAAAAAGAATGTTGTTACTTATACCACAGCTCTCATGACCTTAGTATGCCATTACCAATGCAGATACTGAACTTATATCTTTTATTGTCAATTTTTACTTAATTGGGCTTCGGAATACAAGCTTGCCAATTATCCTCAGGAACCCTAGGGCAATTTCTTTTCTGTTACCATTAGTGCAACCACATAAACTTCAATTGACCATGCTCATCAGGAGGGCCAAGCTGTTGCCACATGCTCTCTCATAAGGACCTACTTATTGTCTGGTCCTCAGATCATATGTGACAAGGAGACTGTGGACAATAGTGTAGTTTGAAGGCCAAAAAAACTAGATTACAGGAATGATAATGATGCAGGGGGATCAGAGAGGCCTGAGGTTTGGGGGTTTGAAGATTGCTCAGGGGCCTTTTTGAATAAATCCAGAACATAGTATTTTATTGTCAAAAGTTCTGTAGAGTTAAAATTATTTTTCTTATCCAGAAGAGTATTCTATTTTCAAAGTTTTGTTATTTATTGATCTTTGCAAAAACAGAAATTCAATAAAACATGTGAAACGAAATTCAGTTTCTCATCTTTTGAGGAAGGCAGAAAATGCATAAAGCCATTCAGAAAAGGAAATACACATTCCCTTTTGGGAAATGTGTATCTGTGATCTCTCAATAACCCTTGGTGGCTTTCATGATGTAAAGAGACATAAGGTTACTAGAAAACATAAGGCCAATGTGGAAAGTCAAAGTAATTCAAAAATCTTTTACACAAGTACAGGAGTTTAAAATCCTTCACACAATCCAGTAAAAGAACAAAGAACACAGAATTATTTTCTCAGAGTTCTTATTTTTTTAAAATTCAGCAGCACAATTTGCTATTTGCTGTAAATGTCAATTTCAACTCAAGTTGCTAATGGCTTGTTTGGATCTACAATTTTAAGACTTGAGGAGCCAACAAAATGCATCATTCTGTGTGGGGAGAAAAATAAATATTTTAAGTGGGTGCTGTCCTCTTGGCATATTAAGAAATATGGGTCCAGCCCTAACTAGTGGAGCTAGAAACATGAAGCAGGGATATACAATCTAAGGCCTTAAAGATGCAAACAACCCCTCCAATGATGCCAACAAACGGTATATTTTTTAGGGACAGAAGGAAAATATCACACATACACACATAATTTATTACATA